CAACATTATTCAGACAATGTCTTCGAGATGCCCAGAAAGATAATCAGGTGGAGAGGTGTATCAATCATCAGTAGGTACAATTCAGAACGTTCTGCCAGTGAAACAAATTACAAGTCACTCTTAAAAATCAGTCTGGAAGTATTAATATATCTTTTAAAGTATTTATATATATTTTAAGTATCATGGCAGCTAACCTCCTTAACTACTGTAGGTCTGAATAAGAAGCCCATGTTTTGTTTTGTCTATTTGTGATGATTATAATCACATTTATTATAATAATTAATTTTAGCAACAGCAACTCAATCAAATTATATTACTTTATTTCACCCATTACCTTAGTAACCACATATACACAAACGAGTACCTTTGCTAAAAATATGAATTGTACAACTTCTTTATCAACACAGTGAGTCCTAACCTTAAACCCCAGAGACTCTCTCCGTTGTCCTTCTCAAATATTAATCTCAATCTCAGAGAACCATCATTCTGCATGACACAGAACTTTGTGTTCACCTGAAAAGTGTACACGTTTTCCTCAGGGGTCATTTTCGCTGTGATTCCTGCGTACTTCTTCTCCACCTGCCTCTGACTTTCTTCAAGAGCTTGATAGCTGGCTCAGTGTACTGCTTGTTGGAAAGACCCAGCACAAGTGGTACCACTGCCATGCTTCCAATGCCAGTGCACGACAGAACAATGTGAGTGGTAGAGCTCCACTTTGTGTCGCTAATCAAAAATACTATGCAGGCATGCATGTAAATGAGATAGGGCACCCAGCAGGCAAGAAAAGTCAGCGACACAGCCACCACGCAGCGTGTGTAACGCAGATTCAACCTGTGCTCCTTGTCTGACACCTTACTGCTCCGATCCACAGAACGATGCAGACGACACATGTCCTTCAGCTGGCTGCGAGTGATGCTCAGGACATGTCCAGTCAGCCCAGCAATGAGCAGGATGGCAGGCAGGACCAGTCCATACACTTCTAGATATATGAAGGCGTTGGGAAAGACTCGTCGATATGAGCAACAGACGGTTCCGTTTGCCGAACAGTTTGAAAGGAGAGTGACATTTTGGTCATGACAACAGTCGTTCCAATCCGGTCCTCTCCAGTTATTCCACCCGAAGGCCGGGAGACAGGCATAGAGTAGTGGAGGCACCCAGACAGCAAACAGTGCTAAGGGAAAGCTGTGGCGCATCCATAAAGTGTTGTAATGCAGAGGGTCGACTATGCAAATGTAGCGGTCATAGTGAACCATTACTAGGTTGAAAAGAAAAGCCAGAAAGAGGAAGTTTGGAAAAACATGAGCCATCAGACAGGAGCTAAAACTCAGCTCCCGGTTCAAGCCCATTAAAGGTATTAAAGGCAGGGCTACACCTGTGCACAGGTCTGCCACCAAGAGGCTGACAAAGAAGTAATTAGTTGTATTGTGGAGCTGTCGGTTACAGGCGATGCCTAGGATGATGACGAGGTTGGCCAGGATGATCGAGGTGGACAGTGGTACAGTGATGGTGTAGATCAGCTGCTTTTCAGAGAAGTGAGCATAGAAGTTGGTGAAGGCCATCCTCTGTGGAATCTGGAGACTTCCTTTCACGGACTCCCAGTGTCAAGTGTCAGTCTCTCTGTATGGAGTGACAGATGAGATATTTAACTGAGAAAATTAAATGTGGTCTTTTACAGATTCATTTTGTGACAACTGGGGTGATCATTTATGAAAAAAAATTCCATAGTTGCTCAAAGGCTACATGCATGTTAAATACTGTAGATTCCACTGTCTCTTAGCCCTGATTAGGGCCTCAACATGAAACCCTAATTCATTCATCTGTATGACCATTTATTTAACTATGAATCTTCTACACCAGTGGTTCTCCAACTTTTTCTACTCTGTACCACCTGAGAAAACAGTGAGCTCTCTGAGTACCACCATGATGACCAACATTAGCTCATTCCACGTTCACCTTGCAAGTGATCCCATGATTCCATGCTGCCTGTGCTTACATGAGCAAGACTTGCATTGCAGCAAAAAATAAATAAAAAGTAACTAAATAAAAAGTTCAGAAATCCTATTTCATAATCTCACAAGTAGCTACACATTTTTTCTAAATGTATTAATTGTGAATGATTTGTTTCAGATTTATTCAATTGAAAATGTAAAAATATGAATTTCCCCTGCTTACCACTAGAGGGCGATCATAGTTTGAGAACCACTGTTCTACACTAAAAAACACTTTGGTCCTTTACCTCTAGGTAATGTTACTTTGTCTACCAAATATTGGGAAACATTGTTAAAATCACTTATGTTATTATTTGAACAATCACCTTTATTCACTTTATCAATTATTCATATTTTTCTGGAGTCTTTTTCTTTCCCTCCAGTCAAACTAAACAATACAAGCAAGTTTACAAGCAAAGTCTCAGTGAAGAGAATTTTATATTATTAAAGAAAAGATTCAGATCAAACGAGTTTTGGTTGCATCTGACATTGGCTTTCTCCCTAAAACAACATAAAAATTGGATATAAATAAAGCAACAGACTGACCTCTGTCTTACCTTTGGGAGGATGGTGAGTCTTTTCATCTGCCCTGCGTCATCTGGGACTCAAACAAATCATATCACGCTCTATTTCCACTGAATGTGAAATCCCCCACTCGCAGCTTCCAATAACAACTAAACACTAAAGCAGTTTTTATATTAATTTCTTTCTTTTTAACCAGAAGAGAATGAAGCTGACGACTCATATGGTTCTTCTGGTCTCAGAAGAGGAAGTGCATACTGACAGAGGAGGAGGCAAAGAAGCCCTCCCCCAGAAAACCTCTGGGGAAGGGTGGTGAGGAAGCTGTGTTGATACTGTCCATAAGCCAGCTTGCGACAGAGGGTTTGTGGGTTTGTATGTTTTCAATCATTATTATGAATGTGTGCTTGTACAATTACCACAAACTGCACTGTGTGGGTAAAACCGATTTTGTTGTTTGATAGCAGAACAGAATGGTAAAGCACTATACATAAAACTGAATCAGCAGTAGAATCCAGCTTAATGCTGCATCGTCACCCCCAGCCCAATTATTGTTGGGCCCAATTATTGTTGTCAAAAGCTGATAGGTCTTAGTGTTAAACACTGTTTGACAAACGTATTAATAGTGGGAACGGTATTTCCATTGCATTTGGTTATAAACTGTTCTCTTAACCATTTCTTTTCATTTAAATTTGGTATAAGGTAATGTAGGTATAAACATATTCTGACCAACACCATTTTAGGGTTTTATTGTGGCTGGTCCTATGGTACTCTTGGATGGTTCTAGGTGTCAGTAACATTGCCCAATAGTGCTGACATTCCTAAATGCTAATATGTAACAAATGTTTTCATAGTTTTGACACATTTTCATGTCATTCTCTTTCCTGTAAGTCAATTTTTTCTATTTATCTTAGTATACTGGACTAGAACCTTTTGGAATACATTGATTTAAATATGCTTTACGGAACCAAGACACACAAGTGTCCACTTCACTGGCATGACATATTGGATTACTTCAGATGGTTATTTTATCTTAGTTAATCTTATTCATCTGTTTTGTTTTAAAACATTATTTCAGTAATTGATGCACCCGGGTCTCAGCAGCAACATTCCCTAAGTAGGTCAAAACTATTGCTAAGATGTGTTTGTGAATTTGCTTTGATCCTGGACAGACCTTAACATATACACACACAGCTGACTATACGTTACATTTTCAAACAGTTGCCACATTTCACCTAATATATATAAACACAGCTTAGGATAGAATACCAGTTGTGACATGTTTTGTAAGCCCAGCATTGTGGACTCCTCAATATATTTCACAGCAGACGGTTCTGCTGGCAGAGATAAATAAAGTTCAGTCAGATAATGGTTTCTAAACACATAGTTGAGCTCGAAAGCATCTGGAAAGACGTTACAGAGGTACGATAAGCTAGACATGGAAGCATTTAAACATTAGAAAGGGGGAGAAGGATCATTTGTCTTTCCTGGAACATTTGGTCTCATGCAACAGAAACTGAAACAATTAGACATGTTTACAAATAGGGAGAAAAACTACATTTTATTCGACTTAATGTAGCTGGTGTAGTTGTCTTACAACTGGAGTGTAATGGAATCGATTCCAAACTTGGTAGTTTAAGACAAAGCCTGTGCTTTGAAAGTGCTTTGCTGGGAGAACTCCCAAGGTGCACCGAGCAGACGCTTTTCCTTATAGTAATCATTGACTGAGACAGACACTACTAGTCAGAGCAGCAGTACATTACCACACGTTTAAGCAGGACAATATAGTTACTTGTGTTTTACAATTGCTACAAAAATGTTTTTGTGCTAACTGACATTTGTATTGAGGGGACGAGTAATGGATCACAATATCAAACTATTACTTTTATTTAGGTTAACACTTGCACACTAACACTTATGCTAATACTTAACCTGACACTACTAATAACAATTAAAAGACAGGTTTAAAAAGATTTGAGTTTTCTAGTAGATCACATTACTTAAGTGGTAAGTATACATGTCTCCAAACACTGAAGAAATATAAAGTTTTATTTATTTTAATGCCTAAAAATATATTTAGACATTACAGGAGGGCAATTTGATTAGTGTAAATCAAGTAAAAAAACTAAAGTTAGTTAAATATACTGATCACAGGTGGGGAAGGGGAGGGGGTTGTCTAGCAGACTGGCCGAGAGGGAACGTGGTGGTGCGGGTGGGTGTGTAAAGCTTGTGATTCTTATAAACCGTATTTGATATTGTTGTATAATATCCCATTTTTCATTGTGCATCCGAGAGGGAACGTGGTGGTGCGGGTGGGTGTGTAAAGCTTGTGATTCTTATAAACCGTATTTGATATTGTTGTATAATATCCCATTTTTCATTGTGCATCAATTTAAAATAAAAAAAATGAAAAGGTAAAATGTATATATAGCCCGAACATGTCACATGTATGGTCGTTCTTTCTGACCAAACTTTGGGAGACACTGGTTGCACTATTGGCAGTAAAGGCCCCCATTTTGTAAACCGTTGTTATTTGCAATATGACTATGAGTTTGACCTCTGTGAGCTTGCAGCAGAAAAAAAGCACAAACCTAAAACATTATTGAATGACTTTATCGCGTGCACACAAAATGTGACGTCATCTTGAAGCCACCTATTTAAATTAAAGTATCCACAAGTGTGGGGCGTTCACGTACCGTTTAAATGCAGGAACACGCATTTGCCATAATTCCGATCGGCTCTGAAAGCAGCATAGTCTACGCACGCGCAGAGGGTGGAACCGGTAGATGTCCTGACGGAAAGGTCTTTTTGTTTGGGCCACTTACACTCGACAGTTGCTTTGATTCCCTGGGTTATAAACCATTTTTTATCTGCATTAATTTCGGTGAGTATTTGTACTCAAGCCTTCATAATTTTCGTAAAATTGTAAGAAATGCTGCGATACGTATGGTACACGAGGTTAGAAGGTATATATAAAAAAAGAATTTATCTCCAATCAAAATGGAAAACGTCCATGCAGAGCTGGCGCACGGCTCTTTATTTGGTTAGCTTAGGCTCGTTACTCAGCGAAGCCTCCTCAGCACACAAATGAGTGTAGTGTTAATACAAAACAGAGGGCATTTGTTATTGGGTGGTTGTTTGGTGCTAGTAATACGCACCTAACTCGTTGTATTGTTTAAAAAAATAGTTCCATCAGCGATTGTGAAGAGTTGTTCAGTTGTTAGAAGGCCCGGCTAAGCAGTGCTACTAGAACGCATGGTCAGGCCTGAAGTTAGCAAATGCTAACGTTTAATTTTGTCGTTGGAGAAAATGTATTTCGCCACACGATTCTAGCCTTGCAATTTATGCATCAACTAACTGTGTCGTTGTTGTAGGTTTACATTGATATCTAAATTAATAGCACAGGCCCTAGATATAGTATCCCTGCTTCTATTGTCTGACTTTACGGAGTTGTCACTGAGGAATGTTAGCTCAAATCGCTAGTTGTTATGAGCGTAGAACGATTTGATTTATAGAAATATTAATCGACAAAGTGTCGTTGCGTGGTAATCTGGGACAATACAGAGAATATTAGTCGTTTTAAAGTGTTCTCGTCTCTAAAACATTCAACCAGGAAGCCGAGGTATTTTTTTTCCTTAAAAACAACTTATGTTTTTAAATCTAGGGGGAACACAGTTTGCTCAAAATCAACAATAAATAGGGTATAATATCAAAAATAACTTGTTAGGTTTCAGAATACATGCTAAAATTTCTATAAAGTCTAATTATTGAGATGGCAGTCAGAGATGGAAATTTGGGTGGGAAATGTAGTCAAATCGTTTGATTTAAATTCAAGAAGTTGTCTATCTTTGAACACATCCATCTATCAACAATATATATATATATATTTAACTTGTAAATGTGAGTTATGCAACAAATACAAACAACACCTATATATTTTGCCACACCTCTTTGGGTATTGACATGTTTGGTTCAAGTATGTTGAAATATGCAAAAACAAGTTTGTCTTGTGTCTCCTAAAAGGTGTCTTTTATGAATAATCAAAAGCAGCAAAAGCCAACGCTAACAGGCCAGCGTTTCAAAACGAGGAAAAGAGGTTAGTATAACATTTGTAATACAGAGTATAATATAATCACATAATATGTATTAGCTTTTTATTTTGTTTTAGCAACTTGACTGTGAACCTTAGTTGGCCTTGTGCATAACTTTGTTTGGAATTTGTGTGCTTTTGTCCGACAGATGAAAAGGAGAGGTTTGACCCTTCTCAGTTTCAAGAGTCAATCGTACAAGGCTTGAATCAAACTGGCACTGACTTGGTAGCGGTTGCGAAGTTCCTTGATGCCTCTGGTGGCAAGCTTGACTACCGCCGGTATGCAGAGACCCTCTTTGACATCCTGGTGGCCGGTGGTATGCTGGGTGAGTCGCCCCAGACAATTAACAAACTGGTCAGCCTGTAATCAGATTCAAATCAGTGGGTTAACAGACAGAAGGTGACAGAATGTTCATGGTGTATGCAGTTGGTTGTCTTGTGTGTGGGGTTAATTTATTTGTTTTGGTGTGCAGCCCCGGGGGGTACTCTATCTGATGACATGATCCGTACTGACTACTGCCTTTTCACGGCACAAGAAGACCTGGAAACAATGCAAGCATATGCTCAGGTACACTGCTGCTGCTGACTGCTTATTCTTCATAAACAGGCCAGCTCATTGAGTTGCTTGTTGTCTGGATATACTTAATTTATTTATTTTGTATTCCAAATAGGTTTTTAACAAGCTGATCAGGCGTTACAAGTACCTGGAGAAAGGTTTTGAAGAGGAGATCAAGAAGGTGAGGGTCTTAATTAAATTATTTTTTACTACATGTGAAACCCAAACTTAGTCTTGGCACTTTAGCAATTTGGTTTAGCAGTTATTTGTCAGTTGTCTTACGATGAGTCACAGTGGATTGTGTGCAGAATCAAACTGTTGTCCTCTGGAGATACACAATATGCGATCCAATTTATTAATTGCTGATGATGTGTCAATTTGTATTGTTCTAATAATATTCATGCAGGTTCTTATCAAAGGTGGGGGAAAAAATGTCTTCGGTGCACGCAATCGACCTTAGAAAAAATCATTATTAAAATCCTTGTCTTTTATGTCTGTCTATTAGGTAAACACTAGGCTTGGTTGAACCAATCAAGGGGGTTGGAACCTAATATGCCCATAATTTGCATGACTGCATGTCATGTATTTTCCTCAACCAGTTGGCTGATATAACCTAGTGGGCATAGTCTGCAGATGTTATTTTAGAGATTTAGTCAACATAGTGAAACGGGACACGACTCCAAATATTAAAGATAATTCTGTTATTATTTTTAATTGTGGATTAGTTGGCTTATTGGTTTTATCATTATAGAAAAAAAATATATTCAACAATCTTTTTTTTGTCATTTGACAAGTTATTTATCCTTGTTGTAACACATCCAAATGACATTTGTATCCCCTCAGTTGCTGCTGTTTTTAAAGGGGTTCACTGAGTCTGAGCGCAACAAACTGGCCATGTTGACTGGTATCCTGTTGGCCAATGGGGACATATCAGCCTCCATCCTGACCAGCCTCTACAATGAGAACCTCGTCAAAGAGGGTGAGGAACCAGATCTCCTGGTGAAGTTGCAGCTATGAATCACCAAACTCATTATGTGGCTCATTTGAAGAAAAAAAAATCTTTTTTAAAAATGGCCTGGCTAAAACAGTATAAAGTACAAATCAAATAATTCTAAATTACCTTTTTGATACACTTATATTGAACCCGGTGGTACTATTGTTGTTAGTTACCACAATTAACCACATTCTTGACTTTCCACCATTTTTGTTTCAATATTTCAAATACCTTTGCATGTCCAAAGTTATGAAGATCCATAAAAAAAGAACATGATCAACATCACAACAGTTAAACACAGTAATATACTTGTTCTGTGTGCAGGGGTATCAGCAGCCTTTGCTGTCAAGCTGTTCAAATCATGGATCAATGAGAAGGACATCAACTCTGTGGCTACCAATCTCCGAAAAGTTGGCATGGATAACAGATTGATGGTAAAGATTTTTTTTCCCAATAAGAAAAAGCACTCAAGTTGGTGTCTCTATCTCAGCTACATGGTATGGTCAGCCCTGAAGTTAGCAAATAAAAAGAAAATGAGCGATCAAAATGCAAACTGGTGAAAATTCTATTGTACTAACATAGAATTGGTATAATACAGTACTATTGTAACATAACCATTGTTAAAGTGACAGCAAAATGTTTGAAAGAATTTTTTTTAAAATATTTTCTTTAAAAACGTAGTAACACTAGCAAGTCCTTGCTACCCCACAAGAAAATTGAGAGGCCCTGCCAGATTAGGAAAACAAATGCCTTAGTAATTCCCACTGAGATAGAACCTTTAACACTGAGCTGATTGTAAGATGAACTTAACTTGATTTCAACTGTTTTCCCTTTTTGCCCAAAAATGTGCCACAGGAACTCTTTCCTGCCTTCAACCCTTTTTGCCCACAAATGTGCCACAGGAACTCTTTCCTGCCAACAAACGAAGCTGCGAGCATTTTTCCAAGTACTTCACTGATGCAGGGCTGAAGGAGCTTTCTGACTTTGCCAGGAACCAACAAACCATTGGTGCCCGTAAGGAGTTACAGAAAGAGCTCCAGGAGATGATGGCCCAAGGTGAATCTCAGAAGGAGGTGAGTTGTTTTTGGTTTTGACTATCTTTAGCATAAACCATGTCTTTTTTTTGGCATAAATGAAATTGGAAACTTTGGTTGCTGTTCTGCCATGAAAATTTAGCCCATTGGGGTAAAATGGGTTCTTCAAATTTGAGTTGTACATATAAATTGACCTCGACCTAACTTGATTTTTAACTCCAATTACCACTTCCCTGATTTGCAACCACCTTCTTAATCTTAACCGCTGTTTAATTTGAAGATTGGCACAAAAGAGAGAGATGAAATGTCATCCACATGGACACTTTCACAAATGTTATTGTTCTGGGCTCACAGGATCTACTGGTGTGCTTGACTTCAAGTTTTTAAAGAGAAACAGGTGCCTGCTGTAATAACAAAGCTGTTCTTTTTTCCCCCCACCTCTGGATTGTCAGATTATTGTCTTCATCACAGAGGAGATGAAGAAGGCTGGCCTCTCTGAGCAGACCATGATTGGCATCATCTGGACCAGTGTAATGAGTACTGTGGAGTGGAACAAGAAAGAGGAGTTGGTGACCGAACAAGCCATCAAACACTTAAAGGTTTGAGACTTGATTTGGTTTTTTAAAATGGTTTAGATATAGACAAATAATCTGAGTAATTTAAAATTTTATTTTTATGTAATATAGTATCTAGGCTGTAACCCTGCATCCTGAAAATGTGTCAGTTAAAAATCAATACAAATCGGTGACTATTTGCATTGGTAAAACATAAATGAATCGCGCATCAAGGCATAAAGATAGGCTGTCATCTCAAAAAGTCAGTGGTCATACCTTGCGCCTACCCACTCTGGTACAGGAGGTGGCGGTATGCATCTAAAAACGTTGTTTGTGGCCCGCTATTAAACAAAGATGTCATGCCAAGGTAAATTTAATGTGCAGTGTTTCTGAAAAAAATTATAGTTCTGTTATTTTAAGAAAATTCACATCCAGTTGCCTAACAGAACTTTTCAACCTTGACCATAACCTGGATGACTGAGAATCTTCATAGACTTCTGTTATTTTAGTTAACTTTTTCAGTTGGTAATGGTATCTGGTATAGCACCAGAATCTTGCAAAACATACACCTTGTTATTGGTATCAAAAAAGTAATATTGTGCATCCTTTCTTTTTGCAGCAATACAGCTCTCTGCTGAAAAATTTCACCAAGCAGGGACTGTCAGAACTCAGCCTGCTGCTGAAGATTCAGGAATACTGTTACGACAACATCCACTTCATGAAGGCCTTTCAAAAGATCGTGCTTCTCCTCTACAAAGGTTGGTGGCGAACACAGAGATGCCAGAATCTTCTTGCATTCATAATGTAAATGTAGTTCATTTAGATGAGGGTTTTAAAGTGTCTCTAGAACTATATATGCTGCCTGAATATTATTTGAAAGTACTTCCCAAAATTTTAGTTTCTAAGTGTATAAAGATCTATTTAAGATGTTTTTGTCTCATTCCAATTTTCTTTTTATTTCTCCCCAAACAAACACAGTGGATGTTTTAAGTGAAGAGGCCATACTGAAGTGGTACACTGAAGCCCACATTGCCAAGGGGAGAAGTGTTTTCCTTGAGCAAATGAAAAAATTTGTGGAGTGGCTCAAGAACGCAGAAGAAGGTAAAAACTGAACACATGCTACTTTTTGGCTCTCAGCATTTTACTGTTTACAGTTTTGCCTCTAGATAGTACAGAGTGTACTTGACATTAGTAAATGTGAATTTGACTCTTCTCCCTGACACACCTCACACCCAAAATTGTGTGTCATGATTATCTGTCTCAGTATCTATTTTTTGTATGGAATGTTTTTGGACAGTGTTTAAATATGTCCCACTTATGTTTGTTTCCCAGAGTCTGAATCAGAGGAGGAGGAGGAGGAGGCGGACTAAGACCTCCATTACCAGATAACTTTTTCTTTTTTCCCTTTTTTTTTTTCAAACAATTAGCATCAGTTGAATAAGACTCTTGTAAACTCCCTATTCTTTTCCCCTGTCGCTTACACTTATATGTCCACCGACCAAAATGAAAAAGGCCTGTGTCCCTCTCCATCTAATGCAGATTTGACAAATGAAAATAAAAAATGATAAATTATACCTGCTTTATAATCTTGGTATAGTTGTTGATATGCCTTCTGTAATTGAAGTACAAAAAGACATCTGATCTCAGTTTGTTGCTTGTACCAGTTCCAACTAGAATTTGAAAAAATCCAAGTTTGCCTTTTTGCCATGTTTCTCTAATTTTGAAGTTTAATTTTGCTCAGATTACATTTTTATTCCTGTCAGGTCTTTAACATGACCCTACTTTTTTGACTTCCAAGAACACCTTGACTGCATGATACAACATGTGCAGCTCTCAAAGAGGCCTATCAAGCTGAATATTGGTTTGTACTTTGTTTAATCTGATAAAATCTTTTTGATTTTTTTTAAAGAAATAAAGACTATGAAAATTGTAGACATGCTGTGAATGATTTTTTTTTTTCAGTTGCATGGTAACACTTAATGATTTAACACAGAATTAAGTCCAACCATTGACACACTTAGTGTTGAGGAACACATAATTCAGAGCTTCTGAACATGAGTCAAGTTATGGTATTGTACAGTATTGTTTCTTGGAAAATGTACAGCTCTGTAAAAATAAAAAATAAAAAATCAGGTCTTCAACTGGAAGCCTTTTAACTGACCAGATTTACTGAAAAGCAAAAAATTAAAAAGGTTGCTGCCATTCTGTGTGAAATGTGAAGTTTCCAGTGATTTTTAACAATGGGCGACCCAAATTTTGGCAGCAAGTGGTTGTAAAGCAGGGGTCTCAGTCCGTTGCTTGACCAATGTAATGATAGTTCTGGGACATACAATAGTAGCTGCTCTTCTTACAATTGTCGTTTCACCCATTTGAATATCATTACAAGTGTAACTGATTCAACACAGTAGCAGTACATTTTTTGACCCTCTTGTTGACTAGTTTTATTTTTAGAACATACCCCATGAGCATCTTAGGTAGTTAATGGGAGCTACTGGGTGGCCCATGCACCACGTTGATGACCCCTGCTGTAAAGCATTAATCAGTTCTTTAACAAGTTCCAATATGTAAAGAAGAAAACTTTCTTATTCTCTACACTAGGAGTAGCAAGAAATACAGAGACATTTTTAAAGAAAAACAAATAAATATGAATGTCCCATCCTTCCATCCATTTTCATCCGCTTTCTTAGGTAGTTAATGGGAGCTACTGGGTGGCCCATGCACCACGTTGATGACCCCTGCTGTAAAGCATTAATCAGTTCTTTAACAAGTTCCAATATGTAAAGAAGAAAACTTTCTTATTCTCTACACTAGGAGTAGCAAGAAATACAGAGACATTTTTAAAGAAAAACAAATAAATATGAATGTCCCATCCTTCCATCCATTTTCATCCGCTTATCCGTTACCGGGTTGCGGGGGCAGCAGTCGCCACCCAAATCACATTGCACCGTACCTAAACCTTCCTGCGGGTGGTGAGTCCACTGGAAGGTATTAACCGCCCTAACCGGGATTCGAACTTGTCCAGGAGGTGAACCCTGGAGTTCCACACCAATGACAGAGACATTGCCTCTGGGCCAAAGCGCCACTAATATGAATGTCCAATTAATTAATTTCTGCTTTGGAAAGTTATACTTTTCCTGTGCAAAAATCAATTTCTTGAATTTTTCAACCTAATCATTGTTAATATTTAATTGGCCCTGCAACACTACTATAAAAAAATGTGTATAAAAAATGTAAATATGTTGCAGGTACACCTGTTTTCAAAGGTGTGTGTGTACCTGTATGTCCATGTCTGTCTTTTCCTTCAAGGTTAAAGGCTCGCCATCAAATATGGTGTGGATTTAGTCCTGGTCGTCAAACGTTTTCATCCTCTCAGAAACATCACCTATAGACATATCACATCTATTACATTCTATTCTCAGATGCACCATAAAAAGGTTAAATGTCAGAACTCTACATATTGGATGAAACTTGATTCACAAATCCTAAATGTCATTAAATCTTAAATCACAAGTTTCTGTTGTACAACATTAAACATTCAAGAATGTCAAAAATTCTGATATGAGGACTGAACTTTTAGAAACTAACATTTTTCCTGTTCAAGTGATCAGTGTCTAAATAATACTCATTATGGTATGTGACCACTAGCATTCAAGATATGTATATCACCTTCATATTGAAATCAGGTAAAATACCAATAACGAATGAATGAATTAACCAATAATGAATGAATATTGTGATAAGTAAAATACCATTAGTGAATAACGAATTAATGAATAATGGGATTAAATACCAAGGAATGCACGTAGTGGGTTTCAAGGAGGTATCAAAGAATTGTGCTTAATTACTCCTCATGCACACTAACCCTAACCCTACTACTGTGAGACAATACCAAAAATGTTCCTCCTAGTTATCTCCAAAGCAGTTTAAAAGTAGGAAACTGGACTTACCTCAAGTAAATTGAAGACGTTTCTCCTTTCATCAAAGGGGCTTCATCAGTTCTACTGTCCCGGTGGGGAGTTTAGGTATTTATCTATCCACCCCAAAGGAGGGTGTGGTGTCGAAAAAGTAGATCTGATGAAGCCTCTTGGCCAAACGTCTTCAATTTACTTGAGGCGAGTCCAGTTGTCTACGTTTGAAACTGCTTTTGAGATTATTATGATGACCTGGCTGACTGAGAATATCCACACGTATTTCCTCCTAGTTACTTCAACTCATTAAAATAAAAAAATAGCGTTTACAAGATTAACTAAAATTGAAATATAACTATATAATGGCATCAGAGTAGCTAAAAGAGGAAGACGTTTCTCACCTTTTTTCTGCACTTCAAGCTGAGCACGCAATGTTGGAATTGTAGCGGCACACCAAAGGGAAGATACGTAATACACAAACACCGAATTAGCATTAGCATGGACGACGTGTTGGCGGTCTTTTTCCAATAAACAATCCGTCTTACACACGTTCCCTTCTTTCAGTCACTCAGCTACGGTCCCTCGGCAGGTAACTAAACTGGTTTATACTCCTGTGTATTCGCCATTTTCTTCTCTTTTTCTTTCTTGTTTCTCCCTATGTTTACGTTCTTTTTGAACGTAGCTAACTCCTTTCCCGCCGCTCATATTGGAAACAACCGAAGAAGCAGAGCGTCGACACAAACTGAACGTGACCTGCGTAGCTCTTGATTGGCTGTTGAGGCGTAGACCCCGCGCCCCAAAGTGGGATTACGTCCACCGAGTGGTGCTTTCAAGTATGATAGGACATTTGAAATGTTACCGATGTGCAAAATAAGAGATTGATTAAATGTACACTCTCTTTGCCGATCTATTATCGTGTTTTTCTCACCAGGGCTACACATTTGCTTTGATTCCCCTTAAGTGTAGAGTATTGCGTTCTACTGAGTGGAAATGTTTGATAAATTGCACTGCGACAAGTGTCACCTCTCTCTGATGTGTATTTTGAGAGACAAAAATGAAATAAAACAGGTTTTTATTAACAGCACCATAATCTTCAAATTTAAAATTACAATTTAAAAATTAACAAATGAAATTGGTCAAAGTGAAATGCATTTAAATGACGTATTCAATACTTACACAATACTTAAGTCACAGGCTTTGAAAAAAAAGTAAAAAAAAACTTTTGTAAAATATCTTTTAGGCTTACTGCTGGAAACCAAAGAAGTCAATTTCTGCCACAAATCTGCCTTACACACAAAAGGTCCTGGGTTCGAGCCCCTGAGAAACCACCCACTTGGCACCTGCATGCGACAGTCTGTGTGGGTTGCCAGGTCTGAGACTGAGAATTTCTCCATTATGGGACTGCTATTTCTTTATTATAACTATTTATTTTTATTTAAAATTTTGACTTAAGAATCTACATTTCTTTTCCACCAAAGTGGCAGAAATGGGTCAGTAGTAGTCAAGTAAGCGAAGTTTACAAGTTTTTGATTGACAATGAAAACAGGTTGAAAACAGTTTGTTTTTACTGTACAAAAATATATTTATTTTTAAGCAGCTTCTCAGTAGTCACAATGTGCAAAGGACAGAACTGTCTGGGATTCAAGTACATTTTTGTACAGTGACGTTACACTTCAGATTTAGAGGTAGACATTCATAACTATGACAGCTTTGAGGTAGTGCGTAACATTTCCCACTGATACCTTTTTAGCCATAGTCTCCATGGTGACTCATCGTGAGCCATTTTGATCATATCAATGGACGTGGTAAATTTTTTAAAAAATGATTCAATTTTTTACAAATCCAAACGCATGCAAAAAAAACATACACACAAAACAAAGGCACTGTGCAACATTGCAAAAGTAAACGTATCACCAAACTTCAGATAAACAGGTCTCATCGTTCATTCACCGTGAATTTAAGCTCTAACCAAAATTTTCATCAAACAATGGACATCCTGAGAAGATGTGATCTAATCCATACTGGACAACTTCAATAACAGTCAGGCCAAGCATTGGGACATGGATGTGTCTGCTTTTCACCTGCTTCGTTGAACCAAACTGAATTTAAAAGAACTGATAAATAACCATTAGATTGAACCCCAACAGTAATACTCTGAAGTGTGAATTTATACAGTCCAATAGTCCTTCACAGGTCAGGTACAGGTCTTGCCCTTTAAAGTGCCCCTTCAAACTTGAAGTAGTTCTAACAGTATACTTGATGGTGGCGTTGACTCAACTGACAGCAGTAGGAGCTCCTCGGTTTCCTTCATGTGACCAAAGGCGACACAACTTTTTTAGGAGTTAGCTTTGCTGGTGGGCTGTACTATCCCTGCGACCAAAATACACCTTCACCTCCTCTGTGGGACGCAGCTTTACTCACGGTCTCAGGTTACAGCTCAACCAAAACAGAGTAAACAGAAAGTGCTTTTCAGTGTAAGTTCCATCTCTGCTTTTCTATTCCACTCCAAAAATAAATATATTTATATGAATGTGAATGTAGAAAGTTTTACAGGTTTTCCACAAAACTTTTTTTTTTAACAGATAAACATCATAGGGATGGACTCTCTCTGGAAAGTGGGCTTCATACAGCAGTGGAGTGCCCCCCACCCTCTCTGAGCTGTGGAAGCAAAGAAACAGTTTTTCTTTAGGGAAAGCGTCATCAAGTGAAACATTTATTTACCTGTGATGACACCTAATACCAACTCTTAATCACCATTTCATTTGGTAGAATTAAGGAGCTAACCAACTGATTCGATTTGTAACCGCAGGCTTACGGAATCATATAATTTTATTATTATCTATTTTTATTTTACGACCATTTCTCCTCATTGAACGCAGCGGCGTTGGTGCAGTGTGCAGCCTAATTCGAACCAAAGCAAGTGGAACCTTTTGTGTTGTCATTCACCGCAACGTAGTTGAATAATCCAGAACCACACACCTTTACGCGAACAATCTTATTTCTGAAAACAAAACGTGCAATCAAAGTGTACTAGTGCACACTAACAGGTGGACTCGAGTTCGGTTCGGATATGTCCAAATCCAAAATAGTTGACCATATATGTTACAGGGTTGTTGTTGTTGTTGTTATCCTACAGGTTTTAACGTTCACTCACCAGTTTCCTCTGACTGCTGAGGCAAAAGGTGCAGATAGGTCTGAGGGACGGCGCGCTAATCGCGGCGTTGGCGTGAACGATGCTGTCGTAGCGGAGACAGGGCTGACCGTCCCGACAGTTCTCCCCGATCAGTAGCACATTGGCCAGATGGGAGATGTAGCTGGAGGCTAGGCGAAGCGTCTCTATCTTGGAAAGCTTCCTGTCTGCGGGCTCGGTGGGAATGAGGGTGCGCAGCGCGGTGAAGGCAGTGTTGACGCTGTGCGTCCTGTCACGCTCCCGGGCGTTCGCAGCCTGCCTCTGCTTGCTCACTCCCGACGGACGCGCCTCAGTTCCACCACTTTTACCTGCTCCTACTCCGCCACCCTTGTTCCTCCTTAACGCCCTTCGTCGTCTTGGAGCGACGACACAAGAACCGCGACCCACGACGAGCTCGTTGCCAGCAGCCTTTGGCCGCTCCATGCGCGGGCTGCAGCCGCCGGTGGAGCTGTCGGTACTGCTGTCCAGGTCGTCCAGGTCCGAGTCTTGGTGCTCAGCGCACTTCATTCTGGCTGTGGAGAGATGTTGGGGGGCCGTGCGCACTGAAGGCGGCTGCACATTACTTTATTCTGTGGGGTGAAAATAGCACTCGAGGCCGGGCAGGTGCCACCGATCCAGTGACCGAGGGGTGTTGAGCCACCCGGCCCTGGATGGAACGGCATACCATTTTAATGAATGACGGCTGCTTTCTAGGTCGCTAGAGCGCAGAGGAGTGGAGACAGGTGGAGCCTATTGGGACACCAGTCCAGATATGAAGCCCCCGTTATATGTCTGAACTGATATGATGACTCCATGACTCCCTCCACACTGCGGACCAGTAAATACTTCAACAAAAGTGCGATGGTCTCAAATGCTCTGTCAGAGCATACAACGTATTGGAACAAATATCCACAGTTTAATACAGACTTGCAGCCAAACTGCTGCACTCACTATAAGGGTCCAGTTGGTAAACACGAGTGACGTGGTGAGACTGCCCTTCACACCCCCACCCAATTCTAGAACCACGGTGGCAACAATACACTATACATGATGGAGTCACTGAACAGCACAAAAGTGAATCTAGTGATTTTTTTAGGCATGTCATTTTAAGCTACTGTTTCATTTGGTAGTTCTAACAGGCTCTCAAAAAACAAACCAGCAAAGTTACAAAACCCATAAAAATGAGATACACTTTGTGTGTCACAGTGTCACAGTCTTACAAAACATGATGCATAATCAACATTGTTGGAAAGTAAGATGGGGGATGAACACTCATTTACTACAAATGTTTACAACAAACATTTACTCTATCCAGTAACTAGTTGTGCATTGTATCACATGTTTAGGAAATGTTTTAAAGAACTAAGTTGAAAAGGTCCCACCTGATTGGCTGACAATAACATGCATGTGGGCAGCATAGGTCCCAGTGACCTAGTGTGGAAAGCTGGGGTGTCAACAGTACTACTACTACTAAATGACCAGGTTAAGGTCATCTACTTACATTGCAAACATAACATATATCTTTACTTACTTAAACCAAATACTATTAATAACCAAAGTGAAACCAAAGCAAATTGATACTGATATAAAGTGAATTATTTGTCACTGTGACACAGCACCACTGCACACACAATGAATATATATATATATACACACACATATTTGTGTATATATATATATAGACACACATTACTCCTGTAATTTGTGTCAAATCCTGATTTTGATTTGACACACTTAAAGTGTGTCAAATCAAAATCTGAAGAAAGTAAATAAATAATGCAGATTAAAGTGCTTCAAACTACCAGCTGCACAGTGTATAGAAGGTCACATAGACAGCCTGTATATCACTGTATCCCTTCAATGGCTCAGTTGGTAGAGCGGAGGACTGGTTCAAATCCGGCTCGAAGGAGACCATTTTGCCGTGACTGGAGGTTGGGGTCATTAGCTCTGGCTAAAACTTTTGAATGTGTACAAAAACAACCATCCATATTGTGTGAAATTTCTAGAAGGCCTTGGTCACACAAATGGACTTGGTCAACGGTAAACTTTTGCCCCTTAACTACCATGGCCTTCCCATGATAGAAATGCAAAACATTGAATTAATACAAAGAGAAATGACACTGTGACCTGCTACAACACTACTAACAAATAATCAGACCTGCACAAACCCAATGGAAAAGGGCTCCTTGATGATGCTGGCATTATTCACTTTGTGACATGCTGAGGTGAGTGAAAGGAAAAGTGAAACATTAACTAAATAGACATTTTATTTGTTTACTTATAAAACAACCGATAAACAATGCTTATTAAAAATATCTGATATAATACACCGATTTAGGTATATACATCAAAATATATGCACCAGTATTAAACAACCAAATAATAAATACTCATCAAAAGGCTAGTGTACGCCATGGAGGACCTGATCACAGTGGCATTTAAATACGAAAAAACAACAGAGAAAAAATACCAGTATGTTAATGAATACATCTTACACTTGTTTATACGAAATGGTTAGGGTCAAAAATGAAAGTTTTTTGAAGTAACTAGAGCCTCACGAACAATCAACGACCAAAATATCTTCAGCTTGTTAAAAACCTTAGCTGACTGCTCTGTCCGGTATGTGCTGGAATTTGACGTGTGCTACGGTAGAGAACGCGCTTTTTCTTGGATGACACACTGTACTGACTGTTCCCAATCACATAAAGAATTTATAGGCACTGATCTAAGTCCAGCAGCATGTGCTTTGAAGGATGAATGGAGATTTTAACCCTTAGCAACAGAGGTCTGGAAAAAAGCAAAGATTATCAAGTAAGAACCAGAGACCAGCACTGCAGATAAAAGACACAGAACACAATTAAAAACATGTACGATAGGAAGCGTTTTAGATTTGATTCAGGACTTCCTAACTGTCTTTGTCCCAACGTCATCTAGATTTATAAGTCCTGATTTATCTTTATACAACAGTCTATGTAAACAAAGGTGAGTCAAAACGTTTTAAGACAGATGTTATAACTTCAAAGGTTTCTGATTATAACAACTAAAACATATAAAGACAAGTTATATCATTATATCTATCATGTCAAACATTAAACTGCCATGCCTGCTTGATCAGGTATTTAAAATGCCAACAATAAACCATTTATATTGTTTTATTACTGATCAGGTAGAAGCATGTTGTGACCTGGTGTAAAAACGTCCTCCAAAGTTTAACAAATAAGGAAACACCACCAGTAGTATAAAGTATATAGCCTTAACTGGAGGATACTCTACTGCAGTGTGTTTCAACAGCACATCTTTTTAAATCTATGGTGAAAAATCCCATAGCACACCACCAAACCAAAATCTAGAAAAAGTAGATGTAATGAAATATCATTATCTTCTAGTTTAAATTCACTATCAATCTACTTAAATCTCAGCCTGTTTAGTTGTAGACAGCACTGATATACTAGCAGGAATTGAAGAAAGACATTCCCAAAAGTCTTCTCTCTCAACAACTCTGATGATCTTTTTCTACTTTTCATAGCCATCGGCTTTCACCTAGCGGAACAGTATTGAATTGTTCTGCCTGTCATGCATTGAAGAACAAAAATAAATACTTTTCAGACCAAATAAGGGAAATTTGAAAACTGTTTTTCGTCTTGAAACTTTCCTGTTTACCATAATGTATAAATGAATATGCAGGTGTGCAGACTGTATGCACATACAGTAGGTTGTTGTGTTATTTTGCACAGCTCTGTTCACCCACTCATTTTGTGTAGCTGGTAAGATTAACACGTGGAGATTCTGAATACGCTGGGATCACGCAGTTAAAAATATCCCTGCCACATTCCTTTATATCAAACATCTGGGGTGCACTTTAGCTCTTACCCTTTTGGAGCAATCAGAACCTGAGTTTCCACTCTGGCAGGCACAGATGTTTGGATGGATGCATCCACTGCCATGTGGGCACTTTGGTTCACAGAGAGCTGAAAGGAATCGAAAGTAATTCATGTTACACTTTTTTAGTTAATCAAGCCTGTTACAATATTGAAGGTTATACTTTGTGGTAAAGCTGAGTTCAATTTTCTTAACAGCCCTGATTTTCAAATACCAAGTGGAAATACTCACGAATATGACACTGCGCACCTTCCCACCCCGGTGTGCAGTGGCAGGTGTTGGGACCCACACACTCCCCTCCGTTTAGGCATTTCTGCAAACAGCTGGCTGTGAGGCAAAATCAGTTTAGGTTTGATTACATGTATTCTACAACCTCTATTCACATGATAGTTTGAACAGTTTGGTCTCTGAATCTGAATGAATAATAATTGTGACAGGGTCATGAGCAGTAGTAGCAGTGTGTACTGTTTGCTGCTGAAGGTTATTGACAATAGCATCGATTCATCCGCACTAAAACCATTCAACAAGTCAGTGAACATGTGCTTCTGTTGAATGTTACTGCGTCTCGTGGGACAAGGTTAGGGTAAAGATGTCATGTGACACGAACAAGTCTTTAATGTATGAATTAGAGACTTGCTGTGAGCTGTTACGTGTACAGGTGTTGATGAAGACAGTGGCAGCTTTCAGATGTCGGTACAGAAACATTTGTATTGTACTTACGTTTGTCACACTTTCGTCCTTGCCAACCTGACAGACAATCACAGACATCCGGACCGACACATCTGCCCCCGTTCATACACATTGGCTCACACACACCTGAAATGTATTGTCCATGTAAACATTAATAAACCTTTGGAATACATAAAAGACATGATGTGAACCACATGGTGATCACTTATGAGGTAGTGTATTATAGCCTTCATTAAATGGGGAAAAGAAGACCATACTTTTCTCACAACAACTGCCAGTATATCCTTGCAGACAGGAGCAGATGTTGCTCCTCATACAAACACCTCCATTTCTACAGGGCGGAGTGCAGACAGCTGAGAGAGGAAGAAGTCTGTATTGTTATTTTATCAGTCCCAGAGTTTTAATCTGCTTGGCTAACTGCTGAGTGGAGCTGCAACTTTACCATTCTGACACTGTGTTCCGTAGAAACCATGAGGACACTCACAAGTGTCAGGCTGAGTGCATGAACCACCGTTCAGACAGACAGGAGAGCAGAGAGCTGGGTTTGGGAAAAAATGAGACATTTTAGCACCGGCAAAAAGATAGAAAAAATGAGACATTTTAGCACCGGCAAAAAAACAAACAAACAAACAAAAAAATAAAATCAGTACTGATACAGACCCAACATGAAAGCTCACCAGTTTCACAGGATGATCCACTCCAGCCTGGCAGACACCTGCACTCATCTGGAGACACACAGTGTCCTCCGTTGTGACAATGTCGACTGCACACCACTACATAAAACATAATCATAATTGAATCAATGTAAAATTGTAATGATAGTTACAGCACATGCTTCAGGAAAGTCATGAAACTCACTTAAAATCATTATCATTAAAAACAAATGTAGACACTGTCAACTCACTGGTTTCACATCGAGCTCCAACAAATCCATATGGACATGAACAGGTCTGGGGTCTGACACAGGTTCCCCCGTTTTCACATGGTAACCTACACAAAGCTGCACAGATGGAATTCTGGTACTTTTATTATTTGTCATAGTACGCTTTTATTACATATCAAACTTTTTTAACGGCAAAGTTTTCCTCCCAACATCCAAAGGGGATTGCCATTGTGCCACCTTGAGGTCAACAGAAACCACTAAAAATGCTAGGTAGGTAGGAATTAAAAAATATATAAAAAATGTTTGCATACATACTGTTTAATGCAAAACTTTGTACGTCCACTTGAGATAAGGGCAGTTGATGTTTAGAAGAACAAATGCAAAAAAATTAGAACGACAGACAGATAGATAGAACGTTAGTCAGGACTTACCTTCTTGACATGTCTCTCCATGAAAACCAGATGGACACAGACAAACACCAGGTGCAACACAAACACCTCCATGAATACACTCGGGGTCACATATGGCTTGGAAAGAAAACAAAATCGAAACTTACACTCACTCACAAACAAACAAAAAGCAAAATATCATAAGAACAAGTGTTGGTTTACCTGTGAGGCAATCAATCCCAGTGTAGCCTGGTTTACATCGGCACACATCAGGTGCAGCACACACCATGTTTCTCCCACACGCATGCCTACAAACAGCTTCAACCACAAACACCAATTAAGCTGTGTGTTTTTAAAAGTTACAACTTGGGATGAGAAACGTTTGAAGGATTCTTCTGATTGTGTTGTACCTCTGCAAGTTAGTCCATTACCAATGTAACCCACTGGGCATCTGCCACAGCGAAAGCCACCATCTACAGTGACCTCACACTGGACACCAGGAAAACACAGCAGGTCTGCACAGGTCACCGCGTGGTTTTTAGTTGTTTTAGCCGTCCTGACACCTGGCTGCACCGAGAGAGCTCTCTGGGATGGAGAGATGTGGACAGGCCTGCCTGGTGTTGTGAAAATCTTCTGTGGTACCATTTGCAGAATGTGCGAGCCTTCTGGTGAAACCTCGTCCTCCTCTCCATCTGCAGAGAACTCTGCCTCAGACAGCGAGTACGACAGAGCAGTAAAGGCTGCTGTGAGTGGAAGCACAGGTCTTGGAGGGGTCTGCAGTTTGGCCTGGGTGAAGACCAGGCTGTTGAGTTGAGACGGGGTTGTTTGTTTGGCCTGTGCCATCTTAGAAGTGTACGGACGAGGAGCAGGAGAAGAGACCTTCGCAGTTAGCGCTACTGCGGTTCGCTGGTAAATTATTATAGAGAAAAATCAGGTAAGGTACGGACAGCTGTAGCTTTAATGTAGAGATTATCCAGCCTAGAAATGAATTACCTGAGGAACAGTCACACGGGGGACAACAACCTCTCTAGCTGTGTATGCTCTGATGTTTGATCTATGGTCAGGTGTCAACTGAGGCTTGACAGAAGTATGGAGGAGGCTTCCTGGTGTTCTGGTCACAGCTCTGATGGCAGTGACTGCTTCTCTCCTACCAGTGCCACCCCCTCTTCCTGATGCACTAACCTGGTTAGGAGGATTGGGTCTTAAGACTGACAGCGACGACAGATGTTTAAAACTGTGTCTGTTGGGCAGTATGGGCAGGTGGACCTGGGATACTTTGCTGCTCCTTCCATGTGGGAGTTGGCTATTCTTGCCATCTGTGTGCTGCTGTGGGACGTGATTGAATGCTGTGGAAAGAGAGAATGTAATGTAAATGCCAGTAATGTATTATTCTTTACAATTCCAAGAGATGTAGTTGCACAAAACACCACATTAACAAAAGTCGGCTGGTACCTATAGAGTATCATACCTGCTTTGGCATTCTTACTACACACCCGGCCGTTGCCGTAGAGCCCAGGTGGGCAGCGGCCACACACATAGCCAACGTGTGGCGGCCGCAGGTTAATGCACTGAACACCAGGAAAACAGGGTCTGCTGGCGCACGTAGCTGAGACGTTGACAGGCCTAAACTGAACCGATCCTAGAACAGATGTGTTTACCATTTACAATTCAAATTCACATTTCATTCTGATCATTTGTGTCCAGTTAAGATTATTCCAAATCTGCATATTTCTGAACTGTGGTAGTGGAGAGGAGTGCCAGGGCCATGCCAGGAACAACATGCAAACTTCAGTAGGTAAAGTAAAAATACACTTCATTCTTACCTAAAGGTGAGTTACTGTTTTCTGGATGTTTAGCAACAGAGGGTGTTCCCACTGCAGCGGCACTAAATTCTAGCTTAACAGACTGGCCTCGGTGAATTGCAGCAGATGCAGGACTCGGGTTGGTTTTAAATTTAGTTAGAGATGGACTTGGAAACATTTCTGCAGTCTGCCCCCTAGTTGTGGACTTGTCCTGCGATTGACCTGGACCAATCCCTGGAGTTGGCTTCCACACATCTTCCCTTACGTGTGAGGAGCTACTGCCCATGGACTTCTGTAAAGTGTTGCTCTTTATTTTGAGTAGCAGGACATCTGGTGTGTTGTAGAAAGTGGTACGAGGAGCAGATGTGGGAGAGTTGGTAATCAGCCCATCAACCACTGGAAAAGGGAAGAACAGATACATTTATTAGATGGTTCGGGGATTTCATTCACTTGCTTTCATTAAGACCAACTGTAAAGCAGCCATTGACTGTCAATGTAGAAAAGTTCATCTCATTCATCTCTTTTTTATATATTTTTTTTTTTTGTTATGTGAGCCACAAGGACAGGCTGTCTCAGAAGACGTTATTCTCTTATCACTAGTTTTTCTTTACTTACTTGTGCACCTTTTTCCATCTCCCAGCATGCCTTTGTAGCAGGGGCCACATTTGTAGGAGCCAAATGTATTGAGGCACTGAACTCCTGGGAAACAGGGCTGTCTCTCACATTCATTGATATCATCCATGCATAATGTACCTACAAAGATACACAGGAGGAGACATTCTTAGAGGGAGTATTTACGCAGCTTTGTTAAATTAACACAGTACTTTGATTTGGTCAGCATGGAGCATGGAGTTCTTCATCTCTGCCTGTATGTGGCGCACAGGTGGAGATTTGAAAGCTGGTCATTGATTTATATGTACTTGTCTTGATTTAATGAATTCAAATATTGCAACATCAATCCAAATGTTTCCAAGAAATAAGTAAAATCATAAGGCCATTAATGAACATCCAGTGTTCATAGACAAATGCATACCAATACAGATACTTTGCGATTAGCGATGTAGCAATGTTGTGGTATGTTTGTGCTGTGTAACTATGTAGCATGTTATCAGCATGTTATCAATCACTTATAACATAACGTGCTACCCCTGTGCTAGCGTTAGTTATTTTGAGGGCCAGTTTTACCAAGGATCAGCCTAGCTAACCCTGCTACAACAGATCTCAATCATGTGAGTAGCATTACTGCCACCTACTGGCTTTTCTTTTACACAGGCAATTATATCTAAAGAATGTCACAATCACTTGGGTGCAAAAATGAGACATACACACACACAAAAAAAAAAAAAAACCCACGATGACTACTGGCTTTACAACCTACTGGTAGATTACATTCTACCTATTGAACACCCCTGCTTCAGCTCATATGACGTGGATTTATTTTAAATGATGTTATGAGGTATATTAAAGCAGTATCTTGCATAAATTGAGACACTTTTATTGGTTTGCTTTTTACAAAATGTGACATCGATTAAATGTAAAACTTTCTTGGCGCTCACCTCTCAGACCTGCTGGGCACTCACATCTATACCCACTGACTGTGTTTATGCATTTCCCGCCCGGGCACGGATCTGACAAGCATTCATCGTTGTCCTCCTCACAGAGCTCTCCCCGCTTCCCCTCAGGGCATAAACACAGGTATCTCCCACTGCCAGCAGGGAAGCTGATGTCTGGGACACATTTACCATTGTTTTGACATTGACACGGCAGCACATTGACCTGAGTGAAAATAAGACAGAATACAATGATACATCAACTATAATATGTACAACATTCCTCGGTTTTTGTTGATATGTCCTTCATATAATGTCAGAATATTTTTCCCACTTGTCTCCTCTCTCTTCCCGGTTTACAATTTCAGCTCCTACCTCTACAGTGACGTTACTTTGGGCGTTGCACTCATCAGACAGAGTAAAGCTGACCAAGTGGCTGGACTGACCTCTGCTCCCCACCAGAGCCACAGGGACCTTCCAGATAAGGAGGCCAGCTGGGGAGAGGGTGGCACCCTCTGGGCCCTTATCAAGATGGAAGAGCAGGGCAGAGCCCTCTGGGTCTGATGCAGCAAACTGGAAGACAAATTTCTCCCCGGAAAAAGTCCTCAGGTCACTCTCAGGTTTGTGAAAGGCCGGTGGCTCATTGACTGTTCAAGGAGAAAGAGTGAATAAATCAATCAGAGGTTTTGTTTTATAAAAACAAAGTTCTTGAATCAAAGGTTTTACCAGAGTTGAAGTTCACTCTTTCTGGCATCGTACTGTATCTCTGATCTATCTGTTTTCGTCAGAACATTTGTTTTCTGTCCTGACATAAACATGGTTTGAGCTAAACATTCCCAGAGGCTGTTCATGGAAAACTCATTGACATACAACTTTCCACAGGAGGAGGAGTTTCCATCTTTTAATTACAACTGCAAGGGATTAATCTAGTGGAAATCCTTGCTGCGTACGGTCCAGGATCAAAGTGGGTGAAAAGGTGGACAATTTAAATGAATCAAATAATTTCTGCATTGATTACTGTAATCCAAAACTGACACCTAAGAGTGCTTAGAACTGTGTATAAATAGGCTTATTGTTATGTTGTAGATAAAACTTGTGGAGTTGAACTGTTGAGCTGTGCTAATGTTGAAAATCGATGATGTTTAGATGTTGACAGTTATTCCGGCCCCTCTGTTTCAATGGGGTTTGTGTTTGAAGGGAAGGAAGGATGATTATAAGTCTATGGTACAATGGGGATCAACCCTGTGATTTACTCCCTTTTTGTCCCTTCCTATCTCTTCTACAGCGGTTAGAGGACAAGCTTGGGCATGTCAGGGAGACTCAGGCTCAGACAGTGAGACAAAAACAGATAGACAGATTGAACAACGTTCATAGAAAGGAAAGTGAATCAAATACAAGTAAAAATAGAATCAATGACAAACTGATTTAAAACAAGAAACATTTTGTGAAAGCTGCTGCCTGAAGACAACCTTTGATAGGATGATGAAAAATACATTCACTGTTGGAGTGCTCTGCACATGGTTTTATTTTTTTTTCCACAATTTATCACCTTGAATTAAGTCTGTCGGTGAAAACACACAGAAGGTTCCATTTACCTGTTTAGTTCCAGTGAATTACCAATTATTTGTTATTATATTATTGTATTTTATATATTATTATTATTATATATATCTAAAAAGAGTTTGCACCAAAGACTTCTATTTAATGTTACAACATTACAACTAAGCTCATTGGCTGGTACAGTCTGCTCTGTTTTTGCCTGACTGTACTGAAAGCACATTTTTTCTTGCAGTCTTATTCTTTGATTTTATATCACCATTACTCCCACATGATAAAAAAAGTTGAGACTTTTCTAGAATTTATGGAATAGGATTAAAATTTCCTTTTTAGATTCAAACCATTTACAGCTGTTTTTTTCAGTAGACGACACCAAAACAATGAAGAGGAACTGAAATGTTGTATCACACAGTAAACTGCTAGTACCTTTGTTCACAGACCAGGTGAACTTGGAAGTGAGCGGGTCACAGAGCAGACAGGGGCTGCTGGGATTAGTGTCTCCCTCTGCAAAACAGATTCCATCGATGTTACATGTCCGCTCCTGGCCACCAGAAACAAAGTAAAAAATGCTGCATGATTTTTTTTTCTCCATACTAACTTTCAACAACTTTCTCATTAATGTTTACTTATTTGTCAAAGCTGTGCCTTCCATTTGTTGTTTTGTTTCTGCAGTTGTGTGAATGAGTCGTTTACCAAGATTACATGTGTTTCTGTGTGTGTTTTCATAAAAATATTATGTAATGTTTACTGCCTGTCAGAGAAATGGAAAAGCTCTTCTGGTTTAGTAATTCAACCGCGTACAATTTCTGCACCCTTAACAGAGCATAAAAAACTTGGATACACTCTTACTAAACACTCACTGAATCTGTTTACCATATAAAAAACACTGGAGTGTCTCCACTTCTGTCTGCAGACACAGGACTGCAGGACCTCCATTGACTGTAACTACATTGTGTAAAACTGATCAAACTGTCCTTAGAAGACAGTTTTAAGAGTTTACAATAATGACATTATTTATTGGTGTGTTATTTTACTACACCAACATTACACTAACCTTGTCCTCCTTCACAACATCGACACATCTTCTCTAAGGTGTTCCTCTTTTTTTCCTCTTGCCTGGCAACTCCATCACCAACATCCACTATCTCACCTCTCTAATTTCATCTCCAAACTGCTCCACCTCAACTCAATCCTGTCCATCCTGGTCACTCCCAGTGAAACAACATTTGTGAAAATCTCAGCATCTTCATCTCTGTCACCTCCAACTCAGCCCTTAGTCTATTGGACAGAGCCACTGTTTCCAAACCATACATCATAGCAGGTCTCACTACTGTCTTATAAATCTTCCCTTTTAACATTGCTGCGATTCTGTCACAATCATTGAAAAATTAATTCCACCTTGCCCGCAGCCTTTTCTTCACCTCTTTTTTGTACTTTTACTTTTACTACCACTTTTGCTCCTGCTGACCTTCATTTCTCTTTGTTCAAGAGCAAACCTCCACCTCTCTAGGTTTTCCTTCACCTGATCCCTTCACTGACCATATGATAATGTCACCTGCTCCCCCTCACTGTCCATGGAGCCTCCTGTCTGACCTCATCTGTCAACTTGTCCATCAACATAGCAAAAAAAAGGCACATTGAAACCACCTGTCAATCCAACAGCACACCTAACTACTGTCTTTCTTCTTCTCCACTACACTCTCATTCTTCCTTGCTACTCCTGACTCTCTCACACAGTACCACAGGTCCTCACCAGACCATCCTATCAAATGCTTTCTCTAAATCCACAAAGACACAGTGCAACTCCTTCTGACCTTCTTTGAACTTTTCTACCGGCACTCTCAAAGTGAAAAGACATCTGTAGTACTTTAATCTGGGCTTAAAACCAAACTGCTGCTCACTGATCAGAACTACTCGTCTGGGCCTCACCTCCACAGGTTTTCCCGTAGCTGTACAGTGACTGTTGGGTCTTTTCGATATGCAGATCAGGGCAGTCCTCACTACACTGCATGCCTTAGACAACACTGCTCTGTTTGTGTGACGTATAAACTAGTCTTCAGCTCCCCTGGTGTCTTTTTGTCCCCTTCACCTTACTCTCCTTGTGTGATGGAATGTGTTTAGCTCTATGACCTGAACCGTTTGTGTTCCAGTGGATGGTGGGAATAGAAATACAGACATCGGTCGGTGTGTGTCGGTTCCTGTTGCTATGTTCTGTCTTCCTCGATGAGTAAATGTAAATTGAATGTATTTGTTTACAGTGTGTGGTGAAAAGCTTCAGCTCTTTCTTTTTGATCTTTAACCTGGTGCCGTCCAAATATCTGTCCCTGTGACTCACTGTTTAGTGTGAACACATGGTAGGTAGTACTGTACTAGGACTATATGTGATTGTACATTTTATAATGTTTTTCTTTTTGTGAAATAGGAAGTAAATAGTAGGTAAAATAAGAAACTGGTTGCAACGCCGGTCAAGTGGGTCATTTTTAACGGGAACAAATAATTATTAAGATTGAAATGAAAACCACAAGAAGTTACCTTAACCCAAACCATCAGTCCATTTAGTGAACCAGCTCAGTACCAAATTGACTGACACAATCAATAGCATTCTTTTAACCCAAATACAACTAGATATAGTATAGAATACTATTAGATTTACAAACTCAATATAATTTATCATGGTTAAGGATGTTCATCAGTGTGAATTACCTTTAACTTACAGAGACCTGAGGGTGATGACTCACAGACCTGGCAAATGCCATCGTAGACCGTCAGCACTCTGGCCTGACTGTACTGCAAGCCGTCATTGGTTACCTGCCAGATAAGAAATAAATGATTTTAAAAAAGCTGAAAGTAAACTGAAAAGCAGTTGTTTAGTAGTAGGTGAATGGGAAACATGTCTGTGTAAATTCAGAGTAGACAAATGGACTGGCTCAGGTTACCCGAAGATGTTTCATCTCTCATCCAAGAGGCTTCTTCCATTTTACTATAACTGACTGCCAAACCTCCCAACAACAGAGGAAAGGACTGGAAATATAACAGCAATAATCGGAACAAAACTGTTGTTTCTTGACTTGCAGGAGGGTTTAAAAAAAAACAAAAAAAACACTACATTCCAATTTTCTATTCCCTAACCCAACTAAACCTGAACCAAACTTGTTTGTTTTTTTGTTTTTTCAACAGAAGAGCAAACACTTCAGGACAGGCCTCAGCTGTTTATCTTAAGGACAAATGACACTTTCAAGGACGACAGTGTCCACATTCTTGCCAGAGAAGACAGATGGTTTGAGTAAAGACTGAAAGAAGCTGTCCAAGTCAACCTGGAGAAGCCATTAATTAACAGAGAAGGTGGTCCTCCATGTTGTCTTCCCAGAACACTCAACTCGCACACACAACAAAACACAGAGAAACTCCAAGACACACACAGTTAGCTGTGTCCATGAGGTGATGACCACATAACCAAAACCCATACCTCAGCCCAGGTGAACTGGGTCGGGATGTGAACACCTGTTTAACACCCCTTAACAGCTATGTACTAGGGTGGCTTTGTTTTAATACTGAAACCCTGATTATTTAACAGGATTACTCATCGACTCTGCCAATGCATTGCATTTATTGCAAATAACATTTTTTTCCCTTGAAATAAAATATAATATAAAGTAAAACAAACAAGTAGAGTAGAGTGCTTTCACAATCTATTGAAAAAATAACTAAATAATTACTAAATAAAAAAACTGCATCAACTGTAGAAACGACTTAATATACATGACAAAATAAATAAAGTATGTTTAAGTAATAAATAAAAAATAGACAGGTCACACTTGTTATACAGCACTGATGACTAATAATACCAAGAACCAAGAACCACCTGTACCTTTGCCTCTTTCTCCACCTGTACCTTTGCCTCTTTTACATATCCACCGTACTGTTGAAATGCCGTAAATGCACTATTGACTTGTAATACAATGCACTATTACCACCTCATCTGCTGCTAATTATATTATTACTATATTTATTATGTACCTCATGTATATATTTTTACAGACCATACAGCACCTTAAAGCTACACATGCACCTTATTGTTATTGCACCTTAATGTTTTTCGTTCAGTATTGTCTATGTCTGTCAGTGCACGGGAAGGCGAGGAACGTAATTTCGATACCTCTGTATGTTCTGTACATGTGAAGGTATTGACAATAAAGCTGACCTTGACCTTGAAAAAGAACAAAATAGGATCAAAATATAGTTGCTCTCATTTAATGCAGTCACAATATAATGAATGACCCTATGCATGTTTTTGGCAAACTATATTTAATAATATAAATATAAATATTGATATATTCTAGTCAGTAAATTAAATCTTAGATCAGAGAAGCCTGGTCCGTTACAGCCCACATTAAAAAGTAAACATAAACAGCAAATGTTTTGAGGACTGTTTTTTTTCTATTATACCATAGAATCATTTTCTTTCGATTATATTGTTTTTGTGAAAATGAATTAATAAAAATTGAATTAATTGCACACAATTATACCATAGAATCTTTTTTTTTCGATTATATTGTTTTTGTGAAAATTAATTAATAAAAATTGAATTAATTGCACAGCACTATCTTAAGCTACAACTTTAAGCCAGTCCATTTCTCTATGAGTGAAGGAGAGACAGACCTTTATCTCCCAGCGGGCATATGGTTTGTCATCCATCATGAATTCCTCTGTATTGACAGCAGTGGCACTCAAAGATGGGACAACACAGTCCAAAGCTCTGGAGCTGAGAAACGTGGCCTTGGTTCTCTGTTGTTCCGCAATAGTCCAAACTCCATTTACGTACTGTGGGGCACAGCAGCATTATAATCACCTCAAGTCCTTCTGGCCTGGTATTTGAAATCATCTGTCCTCACCTTTAGTCTTGTGGCATAACAGCTAAGGTTATCAGAGTCGATGAATCCCAAGCCAAAGACGCGTACATGACGACAATCAAAGGCCCGTATGTCACATAACCCACTGTTCTCCAGGTCTGTCAGCTCCACTGGATGGCCTGTGGGTCCATAAATCATTTTATCATAGAACTACAGACAGTTATTTTTAAATGCTTGGCTTCACAAATAGACAACAGCTTTGAAGAACAGCTCTGATACTCACTGATGGCCAGACTACAGTCATAGAAGCTGTAGCTGTGATAGCACCGGCAGCCCCATTCTGTACACTCCCCATTTCCACTACAGAAGTTAGGACAGCGCAGTGCAGTTATCACTTTACCAGACGCTCCGTTTAGGTTTGCCATCTCCAAGGCTTTCTGGGTCTGATTTTCCAACAACTTTCTCTCGCACTCGTTCTCCAAGTACGGCAACAGTGCCTTCTCCCAGCCCAGGTCATCTTTAAGCTGCAGGTCCAGGATGCACAGATCAACTGCCTCGTCGAGGCGGCGTCCCAGCAGTCCTCGACATACGGTGCCTATAGTGGAGTTGGCCAGAGCCTTTTGGCACACTTCAAGAGCTTTGGCTGAGGTGAGGCCACTTGGCGTTGGCCACTGAGGTTGCAACTCTGGTCTGGTCACTGCCATGTGATCTTCAGGAAAAAAGTACGCTAAATTCTGCAGATCTGACTCGCTGAGGCTTTTAACAGGAAACAATGGCAGAAGTGACGTTTGTCTCTTAATTCTGTCCATATTAACTGGACGACCCCTTCTGACCTCTCCATGAGTTACAAGATCACTGCCACTGTGTTGTTTGGCTTCAGTTTGAAAGTGAAAGCTCCTGGTCTCCAGAGGACCACTGTTATAGGTGTTGAACGCAGACGTATAATCCACAGTATTATATGAGTTACAGTCGGCCTTTGCAGAATAACTGAACAGGTTCCTTATCCCTCTGCCAGCGTAATGAGCAGTGCTCTGACTTTTCTTGCAGTGACAAAAAGCCTTCCTAGCCTCCTGAGTTGCCGACGGAGGTGTCTTGTCAAAGAGGCTTTCTCCTGGCGCTATTCTAGACACACACATAAAAAGAATACACAAACTTAGATATTATAAATATTCAAAAGCACTGTAGCTCAACCAAATAGAAAAAGGGAAAAACTGTTTTTATTGGCTGACCTCCAGTCCTTAATGAAGCGATGCAGTTCGTCACGGCCATAAAAGTCACCATCAAGGCTGTGGAAGTCGTTTTTACCATTGCGATCAAAGGTGCCACAGAGGCCGTTCGTTTTTCTGTAGTCAACACTGGGCGCTCTTACAGCCAGGCTCATGCCCCAATCACTAACATCAGCCCTGACAAAGGCCCCGGAGGGAAAGGTCAGCTACAAGACGAGAATCACATCATTAACCTAAGCTGATTATGTAGAAAGATTAGTATTCAGCAGTGTAAAAGGCTGCATGGAAATTCGAACTTGGTTATTTAGCAATTCTTAGTCCAGGCTAATATTCTTCAAAAATTCAGAAGGCACTAATGCATAAAGACCAAAGGTCCTAACAGGGCTGACAATAATGATAGCTGATCAAGCAGACCATTATCAGCCCCAGCTCTGCCAACCCTTCTTAAATCATAGGCTACAATTAAACTTAAAACTAGGTGATAACTTCAGTTGCATCAGGACCTTTCAAAGTAAAACAAAACATGCCTGGGGAAACTCAAGAATGATTAACACCTCTTCAAAAGCCCCTTGAAGAGGTTTTGATACCTACAGTGACCTTTTTCCCCTGGTGGGACTCCAGTACCCTGATCTGACTGCCGTCCTCCTCACCGAGGTTCCTGAGTTTGAGTTGTGGCCTTGTCTCCAGTGGCTGACCATTGCACATGTCAAAGACAGCCACCTCATTCCCCTCCTGTACTGCTACTCCACAGTTGCAGGCAACAGTGTAGTGCCGGCTGCCACAGTTCCACTGGCGAGAATGGACCTCGAATTTCCTGGCGAGGCTCCGGTACAGGACAAAAGTTCCAGTCTGGTGGTTTTCATACTGTCTGCTCATTCAGAGGACATACAGATATTAAACTGGTTCAATTATTATGGTTTCTTACGACACTCAATGTTTAGTATCATTTTCATTTTACCTGCCATCAAGTGTGATTATATGTGGGTCAGTCAGAGAGTAACAAACAGAAGTGGGAATGTCTTGGACCGTGACCTAAGGATAGAGGTCAGATAAAAAAAAAAAGATTACTGAGGGTCTCCCCATGACCTCTTTGGCTTTTGGTGTTTTTACTTCACACATATTTCCATCTGCTTTGTGGATCCATGAGAGATAATCTATCTAGAGGTCTGATGTTATCTCCTGGGTGTTATTAGTATATATCCAGTAGAAAAACTAACTAGCAACTTTTAAAAACTCAGAGTGTACTTTGCCATGGTTCACAGATTTCAGATATTCGTGACAGCTGCGGTGCTTGTAGTTTAACTTCAACTCACCTTTAGGGATGTTGGTGTGTAGGTTCTCCAGAGTGGTGGAGCGCTGGGTCCTGGAACAACACCAATCATGCTCAGACGGTTCCCATCACGTGTGAAGTCAGTGACAGCAGTGACAGAAAACGCTGCCTCAGCGCAGGTGCCATTCCTGCAGGCATTTGCCTGGAGCACCAGCTGGCATGCAGACAACACCACATTTGAGGCCTCGTGTCCAAGAGTCTCTGTGGATTTCAACAAATCAGCCAGTCAGTGCTAACGGATGGCATACAGCTGCCTACAGAGATGTGATAAAGTCAGCTTTGATGTAATAATGTACAGGAGAAGTTGGAACACAGCTAGAGGGAAAAATTCAAGGAAATATTATAAATTATTGTCAAGGGAAGCATAGAGGAGGATAAAATCAGGGATTTTTTCCTTCCTTTGGTCTCCGTCAATATAGTGGCCGATGTTACCATTTCTGAATGAACAGAGATTCTGAGAGATTTGTTATGTTTCTACAATAAGCTGAAGGTAATGAGACTGACCAGGTTCATAGACAGTCAGAGCTAGAGGGACTCCACACTGCCGTCTGTTGTCAGTGCTGTAGCAGGGAATGGGCACTGTGCTGTGGATGGTCACCATGTGCTCCTTCCCATTCTCTGCTATTTGAAGTGAATCTGTAAAAAACTTTGGGGAATACAAAACAGTCCTCGAGTTATATTGAAAACGTCATGGTTTATTCTTCTTATTTAGTGCAGAAGTTAGAGCACAACACAAGAATGTTTACCTTAAGTCCAGCATAAAAGCTCTCACTTTCTTTTGCAGCAGACCTAGAACTGCTGGAGTTGGCTCTGAATGTTGAAACACTGCAGGAAAACTGAAAAAAAAAAAAAAAAGATTTATCAGTAAGGTACACCACAACATTTTTTATTTAAGTGTATAGTGTGCCAGAAACAGACTGAGATTGCAAACTGGATAATTAAGCACAAGCACTTGAATTTCTATTGTAATATACCAAACGGGGCATAACATAAGAGCACATTGAAAACACAACTAGACATTGTCTTGACTCCTTGCATAAAGGCACATTTCACATTTTGTATTTATGTCCACTCCATAGTTTAAAAACAACCAGATAAAGGTCTTATTTTTTTCTGCATTTGTCCACTTCTTAAGAGGATGTTTCATCCTGTTACTGATTTATCTTCCCTGAATTTTCTCCTGTCTTTACGTATCAGGACATGACCCATTTGTAAAGTACAGCCCACCACAAAAGACTGTACTATCCATCACATATAGTACATCATGATCAAAGGTATGACATGATCACATGCCCCCCCCGCTCCCAAAACACACAAATCTTTCAGCACCATCCAACAGGAAGTACCGTTTCTCCGAGTCTAAAGTGTACACCATCCATCTCCACTAAAGAGAAGAGCTTCAGCGAGGATTCCTGCTTGATTTCAGCCTTCATGCTACTGCCAATGTGTCTGGCCCACACAACTTGGTAGCCTAGCTGCTGGCTCCACTGCGGAGGGCTGAAGGAGCACCTGAGGTAGACACTGTGGCCAATGAGCTCTGGCGTAATCACTGGTCGGGAGGGTAGGGTTGGAATAGCAGCTGAAATTGATGACATAAAATCATCAGTCACTCATCACAGCTATGATGTCACTGCAGATTCAATTATCACACGTCATACTGAGGAGAGTTCAACAGTAACATACAAACATATTATATGAGGTCCATACTCCTTGAAATGATCTTTTAAGCTGCGGTGGAATATAAACAAAGTTTAAATGTTACTCTGCTCTTTCATGTCCTTTTGAAAATTCAAAACGTTTTATTTATTTAATATCTTTATGCAATATGGTTCTAGTTGTACAGGTTGTTGTGCAGGTTTGAGCACTGTATTTTTGTCACATTTTACATCACTACAAGATAGAGATGCAGGACAAGAGTGAATAAGTGTTCAGTTCTCACCTTTGCATTGGCCATTGACTTCTATTTCACCTGGTAAACAATACTGTCGTCCCAAAATAGGAGCCACTGAAATATAACACATTACTTTAATCAAATTGCTGATTCAAGCCATTCACAATGTTGCTATTCACAACATTTACTGTGTATCCTGAAATTGACACCATTTCTTATATTCCTCCTGCAGCTGACCTGAATTGTGTTCACCTTTGGCACAGTATCCCATGCACCCTTGTGTTGGTTGCAGGTAGTACACCATAAACTGGCCACAATTCCGCACGGTGACGGGTATGCGAAAGAGGCAGCAATCTTTGGTGATGCCATGAAAGAACTGCCAAGTGGCACAGGCAGAGAGCTGGCGAATCTCACCAGGACGTGGCAGTGAAGTGTCTTTAAGGGACAGCCACAGCGGAGCTTGAGTACCGCAATGATTCATCTACGCCAAGGCAGAAATATAGTTATATACCTCAACATGTTTGCTTTTTTGTTGACAAACTTGAAAACAAACAAAACAAAAGTGAAATAATGATGTATTATTATGTAACTTACCTCAATGCACGTGGTTGGCATCTCTGCTGGTTTATTATTGATCATGAATCTGTACCAGCCAGGAGTCAGAGAGTGGTCACAGATCAGATCCTGAATGGCAGTGGTTTGTATCTCAGTGGAGTCAAAGTCCACACTTCGATAGGGATTTTGCAAAATTCCATGGCCGCCTGGATAACACTCCGGTGCTACAACAACAACAACAACAAAAACCCTATAAGTCATACTAAACTCAAACGCAGCTAAAAGTAGAAGAACAAGAAAATACGTTTTTTAAACTTCGGCTATAATGCCTAAAAGCAACAAAGACACATTAAAATATTGCCGGCTATAAGATTTAGGATTCTTTCATTCACAGCACCACCTACAGTTCAGGGAAGGAAATCTGCATACTCAATACTGACAACCACAGAATAAAATAATTGCACAAAGCTACCGTTATGTTGAAATTTGTCTCCACGTACACTTTTTCCGGCACTTCAGCTGACAAGATTTTGAGCCACAGGTTGTTCAAACAAACGGAATTATCAGGGAGGGGGACTTGACTGCTGGTTTAATGTGTTTACTGAACTGCAGCACAGGGCAGGTGAGGGGGCAGTGGGCTAATGAAGCAGCCTGTGTCGAAAAAAGGAAGACCCCACTGGGAGGGTGGCCGTCAACAAACCAGATGTGCAGTAACCTAAACAAGGAACTCAAAAGATTCTCTGGATGGGGACTTAATGTTTTTGGAACTATACCTGTGGTTACAGGACTGTTGGTTTGTCCTGCACCAAAAAAAACTGCTTTGAGATCAGGTGAAAAAATTTAAAGTTATTTTAGACTATGTCAGACAGTCAGGGGTTTGGTACACATCTTTTTTTATCCCTTAAGAGCCAGTTTCGTTAACCGACAATCAGCTCAAATCTGATATCCCCCGCTTTGTTTCACTCTTGGCTTATTACATTCTTTTGGAGGTTCTTCTTGTTCTGGGTCTGACTAGGGCTACTCTAGTTATGTGAATTGGTTCATTACCATTTAAAGGTAAAGCCACGGAAGCTGGCTGTTCAGAACAGGGCTGGTAAATAGGTGTAGAATAAAACAGCACCGTCAATCCATCCAATGTAATCCGCTTAACTGTTAGCGGGTCGCGGCGGCAGCAGTCTCCACGACCGCCACCCAAAACACACTGCACCGTACCAGCCCCCCCTGAACCTTCCTGTGGGTGGTGAGTCCACTGGAAGGTACCAACCGCCCTAACCTGGATTCACTCTAACCCAGGAGGTGAACCCTGGGGTTCCACACCAATGACAGAGACACTGGCTCTGGGCCAAAGCACTCAATCTTATTTCAGCCAAAGCAAGTTACTATGATTTCATTCACACATCAAACAACCATATTAATTAGCACATGTTCCCTTTAACTTCAACTTCATTTACCATTCTGTAGTTTTTAAGATACATTTTAGATACATTTTTATACTCATGGTAAACACTACTTTATTTGTATTATGATCTGGTGTGAAAGACGTGATTCATTTTAAACAAACTGTTTCATAAACTGTCATTCTAACAACACAGTTATAAAAATGAAATAAACCTGTACCAACTCAGCTTTAGTTTTTAGTTCAATGCATCCACACAGACGGTTAGTGAACAGAAATGAGACGTCACTGTTGAATTAGCCGTGTTAACATACACATTTACGCTGATAGAAAGCGCTAATTCCTTCAAGTAAAAGATTATAACAGACACCGAAAAGCAACATTATCGCAAATACAAAATGTCGGTACCATGGGTGTCTCATTTAGTGTAGAAAATATGGATTTTATATGTTAGTCCGTGGCTTGGTTCGACATCTGCCTCTGCTTCATAAAGTTAAAATATATGAGTATACATTTTCAGCTGGGGCCGTTTGGAAACATTGGACACAGATGCGTGTAGCATTTCTGCTTTAAGAGAGGTCATAAATTGAGGTAGAAAAAGGTTGACATTCACCTACCATGTTGAGAGGAAACTTTTATTTGCGCGACGAGCAGCAGCATCGTGACGCATAAATATCCGCGGAGAGAGAGACGCTTGAAACCACACGCACAGCAGTGCATGGCTGCGGCCCCGAAGTGAAGTGATGCTCGATACCCGTCTAGGTTCACTCCCATTGACAGTCTGTAGGAAACGGAGTGAAGAGGTAGCGCTACCGGCAGCCTTTGTGTCGGGTTTTCTCTTCACACTGAGGCCACTGAGGACTGCGGCGAAGACTTCAGAGCAAAATGCCGAAGATTGGCCGCAGGGAGGAGGGGGGGAGCCCACGGACGAGTCAGGTCCTGTAGGTGGGTCCTCTGAGTGACCGACCCATTCCACGATCCTCGGTCAAAGGTGCTGGCTGTTCAGAACAGGGCTGGTAAATAGGTGTAGAATAAAACAGCACCGTCAATCCATCCAATGTAATCCGCTTAACTGTTAGCGGGTCGCGGCGGCAGCAGTCTCCACGACCGCCACCCAAAACACACTGCACCGTACCAGCCCCCCCTGAACCTTCCTGTGGGTGGGGAGTCCACTGGAAGGTACCAACCGCCCTAACCTGGATTCACTCTAACCCAGGAGGTGAACCCTGGGGTTCCACACCAATGACAGAGACACTGGCTCTGGGCCAAAGCACTCAATCTTATTTCAGCCAAAGCAAGTTACTATGATTTCATTCACACATCAAACAACCATATTAATTAGCACATGTTCCCTTTAACTTCAACTTCATTTACCATTCTGTAGTTTTTAAGATACATTTTAGATACATTTTTATACTCATGGTAAACACTACTTTATTTGTATTATGATCTGGTGTGAAAGACGTGATTCATTTTAAACAAACTGTTTCATAAACTGTCATTCTAACAACACAGTTATAAAAATGAAATAAACCTGTACCAACTCAGCTTTAGTTTTTAGTTCAATGCATCCACACAGACGGTTAGTGAACAGAAATGAGACGTCACTGTTGAATTAGCCGTGTTAACATACACATTTACGCTGATAGAAAGCGCTAATTCCTTCAAGTAAAAGATTATAACTGACACCGAAAAGCAACATTATCGCAAATACAAAATGTCGGTACCATGGGTGTCTCATTTAGTGTAGAAAATATGGATTTTATATGTTAGTCCGTGGCTTGGTTCGACATCTGCCTCTGCTTCATAAAGTTAAAATATATGAGTATACATTTTCAGCTGGGGCCGTTTGGAAACATTGGACACAGATGCGTGTAGCATTTCTGCTTTAAGAGAGGTCATAAATTGAGGTAGAAAAAGGTTGACATTCACCTACCATGTTGAGAGGAAACTTTTATTTGCGCGACGAGCAGCAGCATCGTGACGCATAAATATCCGCGGAGAGAGAGACGCTTGAAACCACACGCACAGCAGTGCATGGCTGCGGCCCCGAAGTGAAGTGATGCTCGATACCCGTCTAGGTTCACTCCCATTGACAGTCTGTAGGAAACGGAGTGAAGAGGTAGCGCTACCGGCAGCCTTTGTGTCGGGTTTTCTCTTCACACTGAGGCCACTGAGGACTGCGGCGAAGACTTCAGAGCAAAATGCCGAAGATTGGCCGCAGGGAGGAGGGGGGGAGCCCACGGACGAGTCAGGTCCTGTAGGTGGGTCCTCTGAGTGACCGACCCATTCCACGATCCTCGGTCAAAGGTAAACGCTTTGACTCACAAAGTGGCATCTTTGTAGCACCTTCACGGAACTAAACCACCGTAACATTAACTTTACTGAACTCAAATATAGGACATGTCAAGGATGGGAGTGTGTCACCCACCATGACTCCAAGGCAGACCCCATAGACTTAATTGTACGCTGAAACTGAACTGAATCTGAGGTGAGCCTCCAAAGACTGGAGTGAATTGCAGGTGCGTTCAGGTTCACACAGAAAACATACTATTTTGTTAAGTAGATGAGCAGAGAATGGCAGCAGGTGTTCTGCACTTGCCTTTTCATTTAGCCTTGACTGTAGTGCTGTGGGAAACACCACTAACTCGACTGTTTGATGCTGCAGAGACTTTGATCATCAGATACTTCTAGAGCAAACGTTAGAAGACCACATATCAAGAAGCAGGGCATTCTACAGCGTAGCAATGTGTAGCAACCAATTTAAGGGCGGGAATTCGGGCCATTAGACCACGTTGCACACAGGTGATTTTGCTGTACCTTGATGATTGATTGCTCATTGTCATGACTGTATAGATGACTGAGTTTGTTTTGAGATGTGACCAACTTTAAATATGCACTATTTAAAAATGAATAGTACTATGAATACTAAAACAAAACAAAACAAAACAAAACAAAACAAAAAACAAACAAAAAACCAAAACAAAAAACTGCTTGTTTAACGGCTTAAGTTAGCAAGAAAATATTTTGATTTCTACTTTTGTTACTTACTATAGAGTACAGCCTGAACCAGAAAGAAAGAAAAGGTAGGGAAATGGGGTTAAATATATATACTGTATATAAATATACAGAGAGAGATGATTTCGTGCAGAGCCGACTCCTGGCATGGGCCATATTGGCGGTTGCCAAGGGCACTGTCTGATGGATGTTGTAAAAAGGCCTTAAATCACAGTTAACTTAAAGTTGAGTTGATTTCATAATAACTCTTTCATAAATTGTGGTCCTTACATTTTAACAAAGCACAAATCACAACACTGACAGAATAGGCAACAAAATGACTTATTTTTCCCACAGATCTTGTTCACTCTGTTCTTCATTTTCACACCTGCCCCATATAGTAGGTTCTCTACAGTCCCCTGGTGTGCACACTAGGCTCACAAGAACCACATAAATACCCATGGCTCAGTGCTGGGGCATCTTTAACTCTTGAAAGCAAGCAGTATAAGACATTTCTTTTGATCTTTTTGCCCCAAGAAATGACAAAAGAGGAAGTTTTAGTCCTGCCCTCTGAACACTTCCAGATGTCACACACACCCTCTATACTGCTAGAAGAGCATCCAGACAGAATGTTCACAGCTTCAGACCCCCCAAAACATCTTGCAACCATATTGGTTTTCAACTCTTGAAAAAAGACTACTTCTTACACATCATCAGGATAAACCTCAGTTAACTTTATATTTGACACTTTTAGAGGCCCCAGAATTACTGTGACCATAGTTTAATTAGTATTATTTTATGTACATAAAACTCATCAGTGTTTGCACACACATCTGTTCTTTGAAATTTGCAGATGGCAATACAGTACTTTGGCAGTGGAATTATGTATCTTGCTGCAACAAAAGATGTCTGTTTTTGTATTTGAACACTGAATAAAAACTCAAGGGAACGGGACAAAAACTCCTCCTGAAGATTTTCTCTAAATGGCTTTTATTTGGTCAATGCCATCTTAAAGAAGACTTAAAATACTTGGAAGAAATAGACCCATTTGAAATGTGTGACGAAAACATGTAGAAAAGACACATATCCTGTTGTAAACACAACTCCGAATAATATCACTGTTTTATATTTAGCGTCCAAAAGTTCACCTCTTACTGGCAACGAGACGTGATGAACTATTGACAGTTTTTGCATTAATAACTTTTTTGTTACCTAAAATGGCACTGCCATGGTAACATGGTTAATTTTGGTCACTACATTCTTGACAGTATAGAGATGAAGGACCTGTTCTCCCTGTGTGTGCCTGGGTTTTCTCCAGATACTCCAGTTTCCACCGCCCGGTCTGTAACATGCACATTATGGGGTTAGATTAATGACACACTGAATATGAATGTGAGTATGAGTGAGTATTTTTCTGTATATGTGTTCCTGTGATGGACTGACCAACTGTCCAGGGTGTATCCTGACTGCTGTGATTGGACACAGTCATTGGATGTGTGTATTCATTTGTATTTACAGGTACCGTGAGAAAGAGTGGAAACATGGCGTGCGAACATTTAAAAGCTCCTTTTTTATTCCTATCTGACCAATAACATTAATGTGTTGTCCAAATGCAGTAGATGTTTTTAAATTATGAAGAGAATATTTACTGAATTTAATCAAATGTCTTCAAGTCTGAAGTCCATAAATTCATACGAGTGGGGCAGGTGACGTTCCACTGACTAATATGGTGACCAAACAGAAGACTGATAATAAGAACTACTGCATGATACAAATTAGAAGATGCTCAAAACACTGAAAGTTTTTTAAGGACTTACTAAACAAAGCTAGTTTAGTAATTCATCAAAAACCAGACCTAACCTGAGAAGTCTAGATAGTTCCTTATTGGATATTGGAGTCTCCCTAAGCTAATTATGTTCAAGAGAGAGGCAGAGACAAGATCTACTCCTCATCTACATCAGCCACAGCCAAGGATACAAGGAAACCATTAACACACACACAAAAATAAATAAAGAGAAACTAATATCCTTTAGCAGGAAAGAGATGTCAACAATACCTATGAAAGATTTGTTGAAATATTTGAAACATTATATGTGGAAATTGTCAATACATATATAAAAAATCCTATTAAGGATATATGGGGGAATTCCTAACAGTGTTCCAAAGGAATAATGCATCCAAACTAAATTATTAAGAACAAATTCAGAATCTATAACCTGGAGCCCAACAGAATCTTTATAAAGTTGCAAACATTTCTTTGTAGAAGTTGGAGCTGATATATGAGAAAATATCCTGCCCAGATTTCAAAACACCAAGTTAACCATGGAATGAGTTGGAGAGAAATCAAATAAAAAACTAATAAATAAATAAATAAAATTATAAAAACATAAAGTCATTTCAGTGACACATTCAGAGACAATAGTACAAATACCACTGCTACACATCTGTAAATTGTCCAAAACCAGTTGAAAACCAGTTCATCCCCAAACCAAACCGAATAAAAATAGAAAAAGATATACCATTATGCAAAATCAGAAATAAGCATTGCTTTACAAACTACCGCTTGTCTCACCACTAACAATATTTTCCAATTTTTTGGCAACAGATTGGGCTTAGACACAAATTACTCAGTAACAGTGTTAGTGTCAGTGGTAATAATAGAATCAATGGAAAAAATCACAAGTGAAATAAATCATAAAAAACATGCAGTTGGAATATTCATTGACATTAGAGAAGCTTTTGATACCAACTGGGAATCTATGATGAACAGGGCTTTCGACTGAATTTCCTCCTTTAGGGATGTTGCCCGTGGTGTCCCCTAGGGGTCAGTGTCGGACACTAAACCTTTTATTCATATACAGCGCAAATGATATCTGTGAGAAATTTGCACTTAACTATTAGAGCACATATAGCAACTGAAATAAGTAAATCAAAATCATGATTTGACAGAATTAAACTGTCATTCTATTGAAACACAACAAAAATGGTAGCAAAAAAATAGATAGATACGTCATCATTTCTGAAAACCCTGTTTCTTTTTACCTTTTTACCTGTCACAAACGGAGAAAGTTTACTGTTCTAAGAAGTAGGTGTTGTGACATGACAAATTAAAACCCACAATATCGACAACCTACTGTATCAAAAAGACTGCGAAACCACTGTCAGTCTGTGAAATTGTGTCATAACAACGCTGGTTTACTGAACAAATGATTAACTTAAAGCCACACACAGAGAGGTTAAAGAACGATATTCTATCAATCAAACGTCTGTGTCTTGCGGACAGTGTCAGACAAACCACGCGACCAGCAGTAAGTCAAGTTCACATTTTATTTTACTTTATTTTGTCATTTAGATAAAACATGGACGAATTGTTGACGGTTTCCTGTTTAGAATTGTGAGAAAACAGTTTCATTATCTGAGTGTATATTTTGTATGGTTGAGTGTTGGACGTGTGCTGTCTTTGATTGTTATTAAGTATTTCATAACGATTTTATGTTTAAGCTAAAGTAGTAAAATGTATTTTAAAAAACGATACGGTTAACATCGACACATGATGTGTTTAAGACGGTTCGTTTTTAAATCAGTAGCAGAGAAAATGATGAAAACAAAACAAACAAACAAAAAAACTAGATGGATAACAACCGTTCCTCTCTGGCATCATTTCCAAACCTGTAGTTTAGTTTTAGTGTTGTTTTTTAGTAGAAGGCGGAACGGGTGCACTATTTAAGGCACATTACAGCTCACGTTACATTTCTTCTTTGCCGTTTTCCTTCTTGACAGCAATGGATCAGTCAATGGGCCGCAGCCTGAACGAAACTCTGGCGCATGTTTCAGCCCAGCTGGGCTGCAGTCCATACTCTTCAGAAGTGGCTTCATACCTTGATGACCATGATGAACTCAGGCACCTCCGACAACATTTCTTGGTGCCCAAAATCGGAGATTTACCTCAATGTAAGTATGTAGTATAAGTAAGTATAAGTAGATTATATATATATATATCTGTAATACACTGAGCTCATATGATCATTTTTCACAACATTGCAGCTGATCTTTCAGTGGTTGATGGCAACATGGAGTGCATATATCTAGTGGGAAACTCACTGGGGCTTCAGCCCAAAAGTGCCAGGGTCTATTTGGAAGAGGAGCTGGACAAGTGGGCTAAACTGTAAGTCAGCTTAGTCCCCATGTCAACCCAAGACAAAATTGTTTTTTTCTTCCTGAGTTGCCTGAGTTAATATAAAGTGTCATTAAAGTGGAGTTCATGGTCACATGGAAGGCTCTCGACCCTGGGTTCGCGCCGAGGAAAACCTTGAAGAACTCACGGCCAGGGTGGTTGGTGAGAGAGTTTTTCCACACACATTGCTGTGTTATACACACAAAGGGTCGAAACACTTGAATGAACAGTGGTTTGTGTTGTTTCTTACAGGAGCCAAATCTGAAGAGGTAGCCCTGATGAACGGCCTCACAGTTAATTTACATCTTTTGATGGTATACTATTTTATTATTAAATAAAACACCTGTATCAAATATTTTAATATTTCCCTGAAAAGTCTGACAGGTTTTTGCTGCTAAGCCTTAAGGTCTGTTTTATCATTATTTATTTTTCAGCTTTCCTTTTACCAACCCACTGCCGTACGCCACAAAATCCTGTTAGAGGATAAAGCCTTCCCCTCAGATCATGTGAGTTCATTTACATCTGTTATCATGCAACTCATTTTCACGTCCTCAAAGATATTTGAACTGCATAATCACTTTATTAAAATGTAGCCCTTTGTTGACAGTTTGGTTCAGATCACACATGTCAAACTTAAGGCCGGGGGGCCAAATGCGGCCCGCCAAGTTCTTCTTATGACACAGCAGTAAACAATGTTTGTAGCTTGAATAAATAATAACCAGTTGCAGAAACATGTATTAGTCTGTTATGGAGTAGTTACATCTATACCAGTGGTCCCTGTTCTTTTTGTTCCAAGGACTGGTCAGCCAGTACCACCTGTTACTACAGACCAGTACCAAGGTACTGAGCGTTGAAGGATCATTGCATTTTCAAAATAAAACATCTTTTAGACTCTATTCTGTTTCTATCAGAGTCTGAATGACCTATTATTTTAAAATTAGATGATCTTTTGACAGATTATCTTTAAATAAAGAAAGTAAATGGATATGACTTTCTTTGAATGAAGTCAATTAGTAGAAATTAAGTACAGTTTTTCATTGTGTCCCACTGCACCTATGGACTGGTACTGGTCCACGGACCAGGGGTTGGGAACCCCTGATCTATACAGTAACAGGCCCCTTTGAGGGGAACTGTGTTGCTGATGTGGCCCTTGAAAAAACAGAATAACTGCAGGCTTGTAATGGCAAATACACTTATAGTAGAATTGTACTATTACTGAGTCACTTTTACTGCCTCATTAGCCCAAAGAACAAAAGTAAAGTCAGTTCTCTCACCTGTATCCTGTCACATTATCTTTTTTTCCACAATCACATAAGAATGTTCTCTTCTCTTCCCAGTATGCTGTAGAATCCCAAATTAGGCTACGGGGATTTGACCCGGAGCAGAGCATGCTGCTGATCTCACCCAGGAAAGTACGCTAGGACCTCACTTCTAACGCCATGTCTCATTTAGTAGGCAGTGGTTTTCACAAGAAACACGTGTGATATTTATTAACTTGTTTTGTTGTTATGAGTAATAATCTAAAAGCATGGGTGAAATTATAATAAATGCTCTCAAAACAGTTACTCAACAAATTCTCAAAATTCATCACAACATTGGACAGAGGATGATTACAGTAGTATTTTTTATTTTTTATTCTTCTCTCTAAGTAGTTTTGATGGTGTTTAATGTCTCTTTCTGAACAGGGAGAAGAGAGTCTGCGGACAGAGGACATCCTGGAGGTCATTGAGAAGGAGGGCGATTCCATTGCTGTGGTGATGTTCAGTGGTGTTCAGTATTACACTGGTCAGCTTTTTGACATGGCAGCCATCACTCAGGCAGGCCATAGAAAGGTAAAATGGAACATTTCGTAAAATTCATTTATATTTTGCTCTAAATACATAGTCAGTGTCTAATGCTATTTTGAAGTAAGTGAAATTGTTGGTATTGACATTTAGATTTTTTCAAGCAGATATTTAATGTGTACCATAAACTGTTTACAGTCTGGTCTTAGAACTGTTCATCGGGGAATGTGTAACATTAAAACATTAACAAGTAATAGCTAACCTTTGTCCTTTGTTTTCAGGGTTGTTACGTCGGGTTCGACTGTGCTCACGCTGCAGGAAATGTTGACCTACAGCTGCATGACTGGGGAGTGGACTTTGCCTGTTGGTGTTCCTATAAGGTCAATTGATTTGTGGAGTACCTCAAAACATAATGATCGAAAACAGATAGTTTTAATTTGTTTAGGTCAAACAAATGATTGTGAATGGATTGTTGTAGTGTGTCTTGTGTTAAACCTGTGTCGATGAGATATGGCTTCAAGTGGCTGGCTCAAAATACCCTCTTTAAAAAAGATAATAATTGTTTTATTCCCAAAGACTCAATTGTTTTATATCACAGTATTTAAATTCAGGTTGTGGTGCAATAGCCGGGGCTTTTATCCACGAGAAACATAACGGCAGCATCAAACCAGCGTAAGTCATTCGAAGACATTCATATGATGTATTTCATAATAAAATAATATTAAGGTATATCAAATAATAAAGTATTTAAATAATTCATTTAATTGTATACTAAAACGGAATAGCAATCAAATAGCAAAATGAATGCATTTGTTGTTCCTCGAATTACACTATTATTACATCAATTTTTTTTTCATTTCTATCAGGCTTCTGGGATGGTGGGGTCATGACCTGAAAACTCGGTTTAATATGGATAATGGTAAGTGGCCGTGTTATGTATGGCTGGGAGCTGTATCTCTGTGAGCATCTGTGTCCTTCTTTATATGAGAGGAAAAAGTCTTAACGTTCCATGTGGCTTTTTGCCATTCAGTGCCTCCAGTGGACACGGTTATATGGTTGAAAACAAATTTTTTTTTTTTTTTTTTTGTTTTTTTTTGTGTAGTGATGGACCTGCAGCCTGGGGTGAAGGGCTTCAGACTCTCCAACCAGCCCATCATGCTGGTTTGTCTCCTGCAGGCCAGTTTGGAGGTAGTCCGATGAAATGCTCAATGAAAACTTGTTAAAGACTTAAGCTGTCTAGATCAGGGCTGGTGCGCTGCTTCAAGGCAACTTAGTAATACCAAGAGAAAACAGTAGACACTCTTCTCACCATCGTCATTAGACCTATTTGAATATCACTGCAAGTGGAACTGAACCAAGAAGAACAGCAACAGTACAATTTTTGACCCCCTTGTTGACTAGGTTTATTTTTAGAACATACCCCACAGGCACCTTAGGTAGTCCACAGGGGCTACCAGATTGAAGTTTTGAAGCAGGTTTCACTTGTGTCATGGTGTGAGACTGTGACACAGTGTACTTAATTCCACGGTGGCAACCTGACAGTTCAATGGATCCAGCTGCCCACCTCTGAACCTCCAGCTGTGGGCAGCTGGACTACAAAAGTAAAGTAGTATTTTCCTACTCACTCATTTTCTATGTCATCAGGTGTTCAATTTGACCAGTATGAAGGCATTACGCAGGAAGTCAGTCCTACTGACCGGTTACATGGAGTTTCTGATTCAACATTACTTCAGCAAAGACTCCAGTGAGCCTTTAAAAGCCAGCATCCACATCATCACCCCTTCTGACCCGGAGCAGAGAGGCTGCCAGCTCTCACTGTCTTTTTCCATTCCTGTCAAAGAGGTCCACAAGGAGCTGGAAAAAAGGGGCGTGGCTGTGAGTCTCATTGAACTGTTATTGAACTGATTTTATTTTAGATTGACTATATTTAAAACTCAGTGTCCAGTGGAGTTTTTTGTACCGTAATAGAAATCATTCAACCAGACCCAGGAGAGTGTCAGGCTGAGTTAGGAGTCAAAGGTATTCACTTCACCTGGTATTTTCTTTCTCCCAGTGTGACGTACGGGAGCCCAATGTGGTGAGAATCGCACCAGTGCCTCTCTACAACACCTTCAGTGACGTTCACCGCTTCATACAAACACTGAGAGCAGCTCTTATCAACCAGTGAAGGAAACATTCTTCTGACCTCTGTGTCGGTCTAGGTTTAGAACTGGGGAATATGAGCTAAAATAAATTTGTCATGGCATGAAGTCAATTTCTTCAAAAATAAAGAGCGATAATCTAAAGAAAATAATAATGTCTCCATTAAAAAAGTGAATATGCATGTCAACCAGTTCTCTTTCCTATTCCACCATATGTTTGCTACGGACTACAGACTTTAAGGATGACCAGATTTGAAATTTGGCGATTGAAAAATTAGATGATGTTTTAAGAACTATTGTTTTCAAATATATGAAGCTTTTCACAGGTGGAAAAACAATATTTAGAGATGTTGGTGTTTAAAAATATCACAGGTAATATAATATGCGTTATTCACAGTTAATCATAAGCCAACAGGATGTAGAACTGGAACAACAGGAATGCTCTGTTCATACTCACTGACTAAGATGTTTAAATGATCCTTGTTTATTAGACCTTATATATCTCTCATCTCATGTTGCTCTTCATCTTCCTAAACTCATCACGTCAGCAAAATAAACAGTGGAATTAGAGCTCAAGTCACGAAAGCTACCATGTCTACCTTAAACAGCATGAAGACATTGAAGACGGAGATTACACGATACAGGCAGGGGGCGTTGTATTTGGTAGAGAATGTTCAGAAGTACGTGACAGCAGCATACATGAGTCGAGAAATCGACGCACATTCAGAGAAAATATTTATTTGCATTATAAAATAATCAAATTGAATTGAAAGCCTTTACAACAATATTTGGAGACGCAGAAGTACTGTGTACTTTGTGTCAGGACACTTTGCAAAACATGCGTGTAGAAGTAATTTCATTCACTGCAAAACCAAACGACATCATCTGATGTGGTATTAGTACGCCTGACACGTTTCCCTCCTGACGTTCTCACCATCAGCCTTAGACAACAGTGCAGCAGAGTGACTTTATTCAACAATTCACATGAAACACAACAAACCAAATCATCAAGAAAATATGGAGAGACAATGCAATGTTCTTAAAAGTATATTCACAGATTGGTCTGAAATTCCTGGTTCAGTTTATATTCTATATGACCATGTAGAAATCAGCCGTATAAAGGAAATCATGTCTGACTGAAACCGTCTCAGCAGTATATGAACAACACCTGGTTTAAACCTTCTGCTAAGAGCAAACCTGAAAGACAGCTTAATTATAAACTGATGAGCACACAGCTGACAACTGGGAACTAACAACTCTGCTTAAGAAGCACTTCATGCTAAATTTTCAGACAGCATGTTATTCATTATATTTAAATAGACTCGATTATAACACATCACCTCTTGTAAACCTTTTTCGTATTCGCATACTGCTTGTACAAATGCTAGAGGGTGAAGAAAAGTTCTCCAGCACGTGAGCTTAGCATTAATTATGAAAACAGGACAGAAAAAGAGACAGCAACGGAATGAGCTACTGCCACAGATCAACCGCAGATGAGCCTGTGCGAGTGGCTAACTTATAACTGGATCCTATTCTTAGCAGAATAGAAATGTGTCATTGCACTAGAATGGCGATGAAAACGGTTTAAAATAAAAGAAAGAAAAAATCAAGTATGAGAGCCATGTCAGGATGAGTATTATAAGTCAGAATGTTTAAGGCTATTTCAGTGAGTATACGACTGTGCAGTGGTTAACTGTGGATAAGAAAATAAGAATGGTCACGATGTGATGTGTGAGATTTATCAGAGAAAATCATGCCGTCTCAATCCGTCCTTCCACATTTCATGTATCCATAGGTCAGTGCAGGTCATGCTGTTGTCACTTAACCGTCAATCACGCATCTGCACATCTGTAGTCACGCACACACACACTCCCAAAATTAAAATGTCAGCATCCCAGATATAGTTTAAAGACACTAGGATTTGACAGAAGAATTTTTCCAGATAGGTTTGTGATAAACCCAGCCTTCGCCCTGCAGGGGGAGACAAAAGCAAGGTTAATAAATTCATTTATCAGGGTAAGACAGTTGGAATTTACTCCAGTGTTTGTCACATTTTATTTAATCAATAATAATAATTTATCAATAATATTTGAACTTTTTATTAGTATTGTTACACTTTGGTCATATTAGTTTGACCCTATTTGTATGTCACGTTACACTTGTTCACCTCTCTGTTGAAATATCTGGTCCTCCAAGCAGTTTCTGTCTCAGCACGATGCCTCTCTTCTTTACGCTGCCTCTCCTCGAGAATTCTCTTGTGCTCTGTGGCTTTCTCAATGTCCCGCTGCCGCAGGGACTCTGTCACGTGCTGCCACAGGCGCCTAAATCACAAAAAAAAAAAAAAAATCAATAGCAATGAAAGAACAAGATGTGGAAAGTTATCTTTAATTCAAATCAAATAAAGTGACTTATGTAACTAAGACTTCACAGTTCAAGTCCCCTTCTCCTGACCTGGATTCAGTTGGTCCCTGCTTATCAATGGGTCGAACCAGCTTCCTTGTTACAGGCAGTTTGGTGACGTCCACAACCCTCGTGTCACCACTGGTATAGCTGAACTCTAAAATGCCATTCCACTCGCCCTGCACGCGACACACTACCATGTTGGTAGCATTGTGCTTCACCTCTGCTGTAACCCTTCGTTTGGAAAAAAAAAACAACTACAAATGAGTACAGCCACACATCTATGCTGTGCGTTGATCTGTTGAAGTGATTGGGGAGAATCACACAACAATACCAGAGAAGTGACTCACTTGTGGAGTTTACCGCCATAGAATGGTTTCGTCTGGAAGGTGATTACTGCAGAGTAACCTGACTTGGAACAGTTGATGTTAACTTTGCCACCCAGTTCCACCCAAGGAACAGTGAGGATGGAGCGGGCGTACGCACACGGCAGCGTAAAAGTGTACTCCTCATCATGCTCCAGCAAATACAGACAACCTGGGGAAACAGGAAAGTGGAAAAATATTTAGTATCAAAGCAAGTTTTGGAATGATAGGTACGTTACGAGAGCTTGATGGTGTTCTCTCACCTTCACCAATCATAGAAACGCCAATTGACATCCCCATGAACTTGCTTTTGGTCCACACATGTGTGTTAACACACATCCTTCTCTCCGGGCATTCAGCGTAAAACCCAGAAACAGGGGGATGATGGGATACCTGCTCTGCCACAAAACGCACCAAATGGGTGTCTTGGGAGGGACCTGCCTCTGGGGTTTCCTGTGCGGGGTTCGTGGTGGCATCTGGATTCTTGGGTACCTTCCAGGAGCAGTGGAATGTCTCACCAATGATGGGGTTGTAAGGCTTCTTGGCAATGGCACCCTTGCGGCCTTCATGGAAAGAGGTGAGGTAGTACTCTACAAACCGAACCATGCGCTCCTCCGGGCTGCTGCCGTCAGTGATGGTCACAAAGAGGTCGGGGTGTGACATAAAGTCAGCGTACATCTCAAGCAACGAGCGTTTCTCTAGGATGAAAGTGGGGAGGACCACCTGTGAGACAAGTCGCAATGAATAATTAACGCTACTCCTTCATATGCACAACTGGAAACATTAGCTACCACGTATACATCCAGGCTTTTATAGGATTGCAGACTACAACAATGACCTTGGTTTCCTTCTACACCATCTCCATCGAAGGTATGCCAATGACAACTAGATAACTCTGATAAATCAGGAACCCAAGAACAGGATATCAAAATACAAGAATAAACTGACACTAGAAGATAGAATGACTTTCCAGGAATCTACTTGAGGAGTTCAAGTTCAGTAATTAAGCAGAAAGCACTGGGTATTTAAGCCTTTAAGCAGCAAAAGCTGCATAATTACAAACCATCTAAAAGGACTTCTACAGATAATGTTACATTTAGTCAGGAAGATGCAACACCAAGTATTCAGACAATAAAGTGACATTCCAGGCAGCTGTAAAACTCAAACAGTTCCTTAAGTGTTGTTTTTTTTAGAGTCGAACAAATATTTCACTAAAAGGCAGTAAATATGCTTAATTTTAATATCCCACTAACTAACTAAAATTGGGAATTACGGAGAAATACATTCAAGGGCGCCACCATGTGGACTACCTTCACACAACATTACAGCTAGTATTTCACATTTGTTATGGTGTTAAGCTGTGGATATTTATTCCGTTCAATGAACATTTTTTTACTGCCTGATGCAATGTGGAATTCAACCTACCCGTGTGAGGTCCATGCCAAGCTTCAGCTGTGACAGCAGGTGTAGGATGACACTGCGCTCCTCCTCAACAGCTCCCAAGTCCTCCTCCTGGTCTGTGAAGGCATCTTCCATCTCATCGTCCACGTCTATGTCTTCCTGTTCCTTAAGAGATTACACAGCGTGTTGGGATTAAATCAACAAACTGCACCTTAACAATGTAACATTGAGAAGTAACATATAATTCCACACTGTCTTTAAAAAAATATGGCTAAATTAATAGAGGGATTTAAAAACCCTCACATCATGACAACCAAATGGCTGTTTTCTTGTTCTGGATTTAAGACCACTTCAGCTTTCTAGAAAATAGCGCCTGTGATTTCTTTGGTCTTACCCCAGAGAAACTGCAAGACTCGGGGCTGCTGACCTCCAGATGGCCCTCCTCCAGCTGTATGTCCCCTGTGGTTAGGCTGCCCAGGGAGCTGTTGCCATTCTTCAGGGTGTCGGGCAACTTGGGCTCAAGCCACTCGATGGTTGGCCCTGTTGTGGACAGGGAGTGCGCACTGGCAGGGTCAGTAGTACTCATGGTACTGCCCCTCCACCCCCAAAGCCCTCCAACACACACACCAAGTATTACACACAGCAGCACACCATTTACCACACTACACACCACCACTGCCAAACTGCTGACTGGACAGATGGTCGTTATCCAGGCAACAGCACTGAATCCAGAGAGTGTAACCTGAACCTGCTAACAAGACGAAGATTAGAAAACTTTGGCTCCGCTAACAGGAAGAATCCTTGTTCTCTTATTGGCTTGAGCAGTCCAGTATGACATGGGCATTTTTGTCTGCGTTAACAAGTGGGCAGATCAAATTTGAATTCACCTTGTGTGTGGTTGGACGGTTTCATCTGATTGGCTGCCTGTGAGAGTCTGGCCCTAATGAAATATACATCAAGTAATGAGATCTGCTGTGAAAATGTGGGACATTACGCAGACGCTTCTTTCCACATTGACCTGAATAGAGATGCTTAAAACAACGGAGCACGGCTGTTATTTAAACCTGGATGTGTCTTTTTATAGAGAAATGAGTTTGACCACAAACATTACTAGTGTAAATAATAACGGCAGTTTTTGAGAGTCTTAAAAAGGAGTGATTCTGATGTGGCTAGAGCCTGGTGGTTCTACAGTGAACCAGGTAAACGCCTGGTGCAAAAAGATATATTTGAGCTAAAACCTCAACTTAAGGTGTTACTGAACAATCTGAGATCTAAATACATTTGAGGCAGGTAGTGACAACAGGAACTCCCCTGATCAATAATGCAAGATAATTCCACCGTGCAGCCAACTCAGAACATTCATCCAGGTTGGATGTGTTTGTCGAAGGGAACGCAAGAAGTTAAAAAAAAAAACAACAAACACTAACTAATCTTTATCAGTTAACAGGAGTAAATATATATATATTTGCAACTACAAAATGTGAAAAGGTTATAGCAACATCCATTATGTCTATATTATAAGAGCTCAGTACTGACCTGCCAGGGTGCTCCTCTGTTTTGCCACCTGCTGAAGATGAAGGATGTGTAGGCACTCATTCAGGCAGTTAATGGTGGCCATCGACGTGGCTTTTAACATCAGCAGGTCCTGATCCAAAGGGGAGAGGCTGGGAGCTGCAGGCAGTCCCTCAATACTCTGGATTAGGTTCTTGTGTTGGCCCTGGGCCTGGCTCATCATCTAAATGAAGATGATAAGCAGGTGCTGCTTTAGAATTTGAACCATTTTTAATTATTTGTTTTTAAACATTTTTCTGCGGTTTTGTAGTTACAAAACTAAATAGGAAGACAACACTTTGCATCACTGATAATAAAAGACATTGTGTAAATAACAAAAACAAAATTTCCAGGGGGTCCTCGACCTACGGCATTTCGTGGTCATGTCGTCATCTCCCATGAATGAATTAAGAAAGTATTCTTTCTTCATTCTGCCGTATGGTGTGAAGATAGTTCCAGATAGGATGAATATGTCGTTTTTTCAGGACCTTTTTGCCTCTCATTATGGCTCCCAAGTGTGAATCAGACTCACACTCTGTGTGTCTCAGACTCTGTCCCCACTGAGTTAGTGCAGGTGAGTGACACAGGTTACTTATGTGCAGTATTTGAGTTAAGACGTGCGCCGTAAGTCGAGTTACGTCGCACCATAGGAACGGTGGAGGACCCCCTGTACTGCCAAAGGTCAGTATTGTGGAAACTTGTAATAACATAAAGAGTAAGTGTATTTGCAGTACTTCTCTGGCTTCGTTGAGGTGATCTGGAAGGAGCGACCTCTTGCTGGAATACATCGATGAGCTTTTCTGAATTTGTGACCAGCCAAATAAGGAAGTTGGGTTTTGGCTTGGACGGCGGACAGACATTGGTGAGCTGCCACTGCTCTGAGAAGCCATGGAGTAACTGCGGGACTTTGGCGGGGGATTACTCTGCATGATGGTAGACAGTCTTTCAACTCAACATTCTATGATGAGATATTTTAGGTCACAGTACAATTATATTCTATCTTACATCAACATTGAGCAGTTTAATGGCATAATAATAATAATATATATCTGACTAATAATAAATAACAAGTACATCTATGATATCACAGGCTCATAGTGGCTAAAAACATTAGGCTATTTCAAATGACACCTATTTGAAACATGGGTAATAAAGATGACTTTGTTGATTCATATTTGGGCATGTGACAAAGAGAAAAAGGAAACAGACAATTGCGAAGTTAGATCCAATTTTTGAAAGAATTTTGATTTTTTTTTTACGACTTAATCACATTTCAAATGTTTGTCAAAGTTTCTGTCAATACAGCTCTGCACGAGCAGAAAAACAGACGACGGTCTTACCTTCCCTAGAGCCTCTGTGTGATGCTGTGTACAGATCTGCAGTCTGCTCACCCAGTGCTGCCTCTCTTTGGCATCAGTGGCTAAGGGACAAAGAAAAACTAAAGTTAAAATAAGCATCACTTAGGATGATAGGAGGAGATAATGATAAAATCCCCGGGAGGAGACAACGAAAGCATTTGAGATCAATACAATGCGAGCCTGATGGAGCTGATGAGAAGTAATGAGAGCATAAACTAGGTGGTGGGTGTAGGACCGAGATAAGCACACAACTTCACAGCTCCAAAAGATATTCAGACATATGAAGACGTCAAGTACTCACCCCTGAGCTTGTACTGCTCCCCACTGATTGCACTAACAGTGAATGTATGAGAGTCTTCATCGCTGGGGGAGATCACAGCCCCTGCCAGGGGTAGCATGCCTCGGGGCTTCTGTGGCCTGGATTGCTCATTGACAAAGTACTCCAACAGGCCTGCCTCGTTGTTCAATACAAAAAACCTGAAACACCATTCCATTATGTGAATGTACATTCATCACTGTGGTATCAGACACTGACGGTGAAACTATTCTGACGTAACAGGTCGTAATACATTTTAGGTGGCTCACCTGTACTGCCACCCTGTCACCAGATTGGTGTATTTCATCAGGTAGCCATCAATATTCTCCATGTGATCACTGCGAAATGATAAAATGAAATAAGTGAAGCAATAATCACGCAAGGTTATCCAAACATATTAAGATTTAACGAACTGTTACACCTGATTACAGCTGTGACACGGTCTTACTTGTTGACAACCGAAAGATCTGTTACTAGATCCATAACTACCGATCACACGACTTTTAAAACAAATATTTAACAACAACAACATACATGTACACGGCACATCCATGCTCACATGTTGGGGCGTTAGCAGGATAAACAGCCACCCACCTGTACTGCCAGCTTTTGGTACTAGCTCTTCCCGAGCTTGGAGTTTTGTTTTGCTGAAACACATCCACTTTACCTTCATTACTGTCCGCAATTCTAATAGCAGTTTCCGCTTGCATTATGGTAAGTGACAGAACCCACCACAACGCGAAACGCTTTAGTGCGGCTTGCTAGCGCTAGGCTATGCTAGCCAAGACACTGATAAGATGCCAAAGTTCAGCAGCCTATATTATACATGTATAAACGAAGCAGTGGCCGTTTCATCGAGAGGCGTTGAATAAGCCAGGCTGTCCACCGGTTACGTTATCAACGTGTGACAGAACATAATTTACAAAGGTAAAGCAGTGACAGAGCAGTTGCTCGTGCTTGCTAACTCCACTGATATTTACAGCTATGGTTGGAGCACAGTCACGTGACTCCTTTAAAGGCGGATCCTTATGTTTTCAGAATTCTTGTAAATACGAGCGAAGGGCGCAGCGTTCACATATGGACTACGTTATTGCCCCTTTACCCCGTCGGAGTTTCACCAAAAAGGACTGGAACAATTATTAGGAGAGTTTACCGGCTACAATGTATAGTACACAGGGCTAAAATTGATGTGGATTTGAGCAGGAATACTATTAAATTATTATTTGTGGTTATTAAATGTGTACAATTATAATAAGTATAAAATAATTAGAAACAGACGTAATGTAAACGTAATGTTTATTAATGTAAATAAAAAACATATCAAGCAAAAGCCTAGAGATAATTCTCAAATTATTAGTATTACCTTTTAAAAATATTTTATTTTACATTCAATCATTCATCTTCTAATGCTGATTCACTTAGTCAATAAATCCTAAATTCCACATACTTACACTAATATTCTATACAGCAATATTAGTGATGACTAGATGACATGAACACTAAAAACTAAATTGCATGTGATCCCACAGAAAACCCAGCCTTGGTGTGATAATGTGTGTGAATGCGTAGGCACATGACTGTGTTCACATGTAGATGTAAGTTAGAAACTGAGGGCTTGCCACCTGGATGGTGAAATACTAATAATAGAATCACAAACGAGACGAGAAGTGAGAAACAAAATAAAAGGTAAAACATGAAAAGAATGAAACAGAACAGCTAACTGAGCTGGATGTGACTGACTGCTCTGTTGCTAACACCAAACAGTCACTAGAGGGTGATATATCCACAGAAACAAATAAATACACAGCGCGTATTTCACACATCATAGTAACATGTTCATATTAATTAATTTATGAGTTAATATATGTAATGTTTTCTTTGAAATGTTTTAAATTCCTCCTACTTGGTTATTCACATGTATTTTTGACCACTTGACCCTGAAAATCAATTTTAATTTTTGAAAGGAGACACAGGTGATAGACGCTGTGCAAAGACTTTACTGAAGTTCAACAAGAAAAAAAAATGCAATTCTATCTAACCTTAAGATATATGTAACTGAAAAGGCAGGTCTGGACTGCACAGGTTTGCCTCGAGGAAGCTAATAAAGTTTAGATGATGCATGTGTGATGAGCTCAGCTGCAGATGGTACACGAACCCAAACTATAGGATGAACCCGTGAACTTCCATGTGTTCTCTGGCTCCCAGCACTTGGTGCTGAAAAGTAGGAGCAGAAAGAGTTATTACAAAAGTAGGACAGAGTATAAAGGCCAACCAAAAAAGGTGGGGTCAAGAGAATAAAAATTTAAAAAGTTGGACTGAAAGAAAAATGTCAGACTTAAGGGAAAAAAAGACCAGAGATGAAAAAAAAAACACAAAAAATTGGGCTAAGGTCAGATATCCTCCCAAACGTGCAATAGATGTGATTAAATAGTCTGCTATTAGCCACTAAAACCTTCCATACAGCCGTTGATGACAATGCCGTATGGCTTCAGCTTGTCAAACCAGCATCTCAGACGCCACATCTGCCTGAGCTCAGGATTAAACAACTTGATCAGTTTTCTTGTTGTATCTTGTGGTACAACAAATCCTCTATGTATTGCACGTGGGTGCAACCACCAATACCCTTGCTCTGTCCATCTGTCCAACTCCAGCTATTTCCTTTTGCATGAATGCGGCCACCTCCTCCGAGTTTGTGTGGCTTGTCCTCCTGAAAAAGAAGAGAAAGAATTTCCCTGTTACTAGTTCAGAAATACAGTTTAACCAATTCATCTATTAAAGGCATTTTCTTATACAGAACTTTATATTTTTGTCTTTTTTAGTTGGGGTTAAAGGTCAAAGGTATCAAGTGGTTCTACTCAGAAACATACACTTTCAACAGGCAACCCCCCCAAACAAACTCAATAGTACTTTTCCATGTCCTGTATACTGCAACCTGAGGATCTGCAGACCTGATACCAGTCTGATGCCTTCTTCCCCCCTCTCTCAAGTTGTTACTAATACATGTATCTTTTATGGATGCATCAAACTGAGCAACAAACATTCACATCCCCTAAAGGAAGAAACGACCCAGCCTACAAAGTGACTCTAATAAAACCAAAATGAGCTGGGAGGCGGTGCTGCCACAGCCTTCTCATTGGAGGTCCACATCAGTGTTTAGTTAACAAAAATAAAAATGTATTTTTGTTTATTTCAAATACTGTTTAAAAAGACAGCAAACAAAGAGTTCAAATCTCATTTGGGCGATCCCCAGGTACAGTTTTCTACTCGACTAAACCCGCTAAAGCAGTCTTGAATTTTAAACATATGAATGTGCTACTGTTGTTTTATTGTAGCCTTTGGAGTAGGTGATTCTTCTCTATGGCTAGGGATAGCCCTAACCCCTGGCTGTGCTAAGTATCCATCTAGCTTGGCAGCTCCTGATTCGTTGAGTAGGTCAGATAGTTCACGGATCCTGAGAGGGCTCTGCTGGACAGCTTTGGAAAATGTTCTGTTCTAGAAAACAAAATGTTCTCAGGTGCAGATCATGGGATAGGTGCCTTATGTTGACTGTTTTTATCCTCTCTGCATGTTCAGGTGACTCAGGACCCAACCATCTGTGACCACAGTCTGCAACATAGTCTTCCAGATGGATTACATTTCAGGTTTGTCATTTAACATTATCAGTCCACCAGTCATTGGTTGACTTCTAGCTTGGAACCTGGGTACTCCACTAGTAGTACTGTCGTGACGTGAGGTAGTGTTGTGACTTTGATTTAAATGTTTTTTGTGGTCAATCTTTGGAAGCGTTGGTGGCTTAATAGTCGGGTTAGTTGTAGGGATGGGCAAAATACTTCCTCTGTGCTTTTCTCTGCATTATCCAACTGAACAGCACTGCACTGACGACAAGGGTTCTCCAAATTGAAACCTTGGATACCCTGTATCCTTTTTTAAGATTTACAGCAAGCTACATGTCCTCATGCATCAATTCCTCTGAGAAACACGCAAATGTTGTTTCAACAAGATTTAATAATAAAAGTTTTGAAACTGAGACTTTAATTACATTTTAATTACAGTCAATGGTGTTTGATTTATGAAATAATTTCTCTTGAACAGCTCTAAGCCTAGCACTGTTTTCACAGAGCAGACAATGTGATGCAGTGATATTTCACTGTAGACTGGATCAACAGACAATGGTAGTTACATTTAGGCCCACAAAAGTGGTTCCGTTCTGATTGTCACACTAAGAACCTACATTTTGCAAGCTGCAAAAAACAACATATAAACATCACACAAAGTTGACATGCGTGCATCATTACAGGGATGGTTGACACTGAGGAATGCAGTGTCTCCCGTGGACAGGCCAATGAAAAGCAGGCTGTCTGTGGCCCACAGCAGGCTGAAAAAAGGCCTGGTTGGCAGCGAAGCTATGAGTCATGTGTCTCCACTAATATGAGAAGACAAAAATGCAGTGAGAAACGCAGACAAGGCGAAGGATCGGAGGCTGAGTGAAGGGCCTGCCAAGCCATTACACATAAGGAATGCTGCAGCAGTAACAGTACAACAGTTGTGGAGGGCTATGGAGTCAGGAGACTGACCTCTCTCATATAGTCAGCAGCTGTAAACAGCAGGGATAAAAAAGGGCATAACAATGGAATCATGTGAAATGAAGATAAAATGAAAGCTTAAATTTGGCCTGTAGCTGTGCTAACCCCCCCCTCCATGCACCCCCCCCTTTCCACCACCACCACTCAGCCACGTGTTAATGACTACTGGTCTGTGCACACCTGCATGTGTGGAGTCGTTTGTCAGACGCAGTGAGCACTGTCTCATCTTGTCAGAGTTGTAGATACGTTTGAGGAACTTTAGGAATGTGTTTGTGACTCCCCCGGCATCAGGATATAGTTCATCAACACACAGCTGTAAACAGCTGCTGGTGACATCAGTGTGGGTCTTCTTCACACTTCCTTTTTTCACCCGCCCCGCTCTGCCTCCCAGCCTACAGCAGCCTCTCTCCCCTCTGGACTTACAGCAGCTTTGGAAGCACATTTAGTGTGTTGAACAGAGTATTTATGCATGGCTTCACTCCCCCCCACAACAAGGTGAAGTAAGACAGAGTACGGTGCAGTGAAGGTGTAATCCAAAACAACACACCAAAGAATACAACACTCTGAACTCAGAGTTTCAGAGCAGGCTACCAACCTGTCGAAGGAGGTGATCCAGTGGGGATCTCTGCACATGGTTTGGTGACAAAACTAAGAGCAATCGATATGAATCAGTAAATGCACTTTAAAACATTCAAAGAATCATTTGGCATTACTCATTATTAGAGTTCCAGTAAGATAAGAATGATGTAGTTTCATATAACACAGCAGGTCCCAACCTGGATTGCATCCTTTCATTTTGTCCAACCCTGTTTGAACTGGAGTTTAAGTAAAGATTTAAAAAGAAAACTTGTTGTGGATAGGATCAACTGAAGGTGCATTTCTGTCACCAGTCTAACAGCCTGCAGTGAACAATGGCAGGGAAATGTATCATTTTCAGTTGCAGGGAAAAGATCATGTCTGCCCGTGTGTCCTGTTGTACAGTGAGTTGCCTCTCCCACACAAGCTGAGGAAATGGGGGTAGGGTTGTGTGTTTATTTTGATAAGTGCTGGAAAATTCCTCTGCCCATTTGACTTTATCCAAAACCAGTGTACAGTTGGAGGACATTTTTTTCTCAGAGCAATTTTTTCAGAATGCACGTTGAATGTCAATCTAGTGGGAAAGGCGAAGGCAATTGACCCCTCTTGAACAAGATGACAACACTGTGCCCGTGACTTTATCACCATCTTTTTAATAAAACACACATGAGAAACCAGTAACCTTGCTCACACATGAATGACCCCCCATCCCCCCATGTGGGTTCACTTGATTTCAGTTGGGGAGTAATATGGATAACAAGACACATCCCAGAACTGGTCGTTTTAGTCTCCTGAACCACAGCTGATTGCAAAGTCCAGCATCCAGCATTTGTCACGTTAGCTGT